TAAAAATATTTTTCCAAAGCTAAAATGTGATAAGTAGAGGCCATATGGCTGAACTATCTCATCTGGAATACATAAAGCAATATTTCCCTCAGTCAATCCTGCAATGCTTTGTCATGTTGTTACTGAAGTGATTTTCAAATTCCTTTTTCAAATCTTCCCATTTTCATTGGGGAATAAAATTCATAGCTGAACAGTCAAAAAGAGATTGCTGGTAAGTTCAGCTATCGTATTACAAAATGAGAAGAGCTTGCCACTGTACCTTATTGGTAGTTCTGATGTTATCATCTGCACCACATCAGGTACAATCATTTTTGTGAGAAAGAGTGACAAATAACAGTGAAAACGAAATAATTGTCTCTGGCCACTCTATGAAATTCAAAGCATGAATTTCCCGTGAGTCAATGATTTCTCAAGCCAGAATGAATATATGTCAGTCTGTTCCACTTGATATATTGGAAGCATGCACTGGGCCAAGAGCACAGCTGTATAAATGCGCAGTTTCCCAGGCTCCATGTACAAGTCATCTCTCCTTTTGCTTATGTGTCAACCTGTGACCTTCAGCATCAATATCAGCTCAGTTTCTTCAGAACAAGGAAGTGCAAAATACTGTGTAATCATCTGATGCATCTAATAATGTTCACAGATCCACTGTGGAAAAACTGAACTACTGCACATTACACTGCTGCTGCCCTGTACTAAAGATTTCCCATGGTCATAGCAAAATCAGAGCAGAACAGCAGTCTCCAACCAAGCCCAGGCACTATGGAAATGAGAGGAAGAGTTTGAGAGAGGAACTGAGGTTTTGCATTCTTGCATTTTTTTGTTGTTTGCTTGTTCTTATTTCTTTTGTAAAGCAAATATTTTTGCATAACTTTACATTTACTTGCATTTTTTATTTTATTCTGATCAGCCATTTATCACAACTCATTTTGACATAATAGCTTCTAATGCATCCTTTGATGTCATGGGGAGATAGCATGTCCATCCATTCTATGAGTAGTCAGTAGAAATCAGTAGAAATCCAGCTCTTACGTGTCCTCGTATGAGAAACAGCAGTAGTTTTTCACTTACCCTAACTTATATGAATGATAAAATAATGCTGGATGAAAAATACAGTTCTTAGCCTGTGCTCTATTGTAACAGTTGCCTACAATAAGGGACTGTTAATCCTTCTGTGATTTTAATATTATGCATCTTGGAGACAGCTGTTACTTATGTTGTTGGATTTTTCAGATATTTTTCATTTGGTACCCTGCAATTTGTTGCCCTGCAAAGGCTCAAAGGAAGGCCAATAACATTAGATTAAAACGAGACAGCCATATGAGCACTGCAGCCCACCTCAGATGTTCTTAAGGTTAGAAGTCTCTGGAGATGAGAGTATGCAACGATTAAACAAATCTCTAGCTAGCACATTTTAGAATAGGCTTTATTGTGGAGTGGTTTATTCTGTATCTGCCTGACCATGAGATCTGAATATGCAGCATTGAGAAATACGTGGAACTAGCCCTGTCACTGGCTGGGCAGAGTCTGACTGTGCTTTACTGTAAGCAGTGATTCCCTTAACAACCCTGAGTCAGAAATAACTTTAGAGGAACTGGCTGGCCACCCAGGCTTGCTTGCCCTGTCTGAGCTTGCTTTTCAGCCTACGTGGAATTCCTTACTGCTGTTACTAGACTTCTGCCTGTACTTGTGCCTGCAATAACAACCAGCTTAAGAGATGCTCAGTGGAGTAAATGTGCTACAAGTGACCATGACAGAGAAAGACTGGTCCTGTTCCTTTCCACCACCTATCAACAAGGCTTGGCAAACGTTACTCCTCTCCCTTTGCGGGAGACTCGTGAAAGCCAGGTAGCACTGACTGCTGTCCTTTTCATAGAAAAGGAACAGCACGTTCTCTTAATTTTAGTGATCCTTTTGTTGTTGTTGTTAAAAAGTCGAGGATTTTTTTAAGGTAAGAATAAATCTTTTGGATGGCATTTGGGAAGAAAAGGATGTATTGATGAAGAGTGCTGTAAAGTTTACATTGCCAATTATTTAGGAAAAGCTGCATAAATTGATGTGATCATCCCAAAATTTATAATGATGAAGCATGACGGTACAGAAGGCTTACAGCACTTTTATAGCCAGGAGTTGCAGTCATTGCATTAATTATGCAGATCTTTCCAACTATGTGGCTGTATAAATTGAAGGCATGCCCTGCTGTCATGTGCTTTATTTGTGCCACTTGTTTCCCATCTTTATTCTTCCTCTGCTTTTTTGATTTTAAATGGTACTCATTGTGAAAATGCTTAGACTATTATTTGGTTAAAATTTAAATCCTGAGGTATTTGTAATAATACTTGAAAGTCAGACATAAATTTATAACAACTTACTTGATAGTTACTAGGCACGTATACTTCTCAGCACTTCTAAGCCAGCTGCTAGGAGGAGGAACAAGTAACAACTTCTGTTTTCCAAGGTTCAGAGTAGGACACTGTATACTTACTTACCTTTGATAACATGTTTGCTTCTCTTACAGCTGCAGGAATAATAGTAACAAGTACATAATCTTCACATTAAAGACTATGATTTACATATTCTATGGATACAGTAAACCAGCCCATATAATTGTCACTAAGAATCAGATACAAATATGCTAAATACACAAAGATACAAAGATGCTAAAATGTACCCTGTATCACTAGCAGACAGCTGCACTGTAGCCCCTTACCCGTTCATGCACCATTCTTAAAGCACTGGGTTTCCTGGCAAAGGCAGCTCCCTGGTGACTGAAGCTTCATGTGCACTAAAAAAACAGGGCAGTGTTTCTTGCTGCAGTCACTGTTGAATTACAAATTCCAGTAAGTTTTAAGTTGTGGTTTTGGATATCTGTGACATTCTATGGAGAGTTGGAAGATAGCTTTTGTTATGTGATTTGGGAAGAGTGTTTTCATCTCTGCTGTTTTTATTACTTTTTCTTTGGGAGAGGGAGGAGTTCCTAAAGGTCACTTGCAAGTGTCCTCATCACCAAAATATTGGTCAGGGTGAGTTTTAAATCCCACAGGAATTAACTTAGTTTCACAATTTAATTTGGAACAACTGTCCTGAAGGTTTCAATGAAAGTTATGAGATCTTTAAGTTCCTGGTAGAGCACTAGAAAAAGAGCAAGAAAGTTAGCTTTATCTATGTGCCTACTGCAGAGGACAAATGGACACACAAGTGAAAGGAAACAAAGATTCAGCTAATAAGGAATTTGTGTGTAATCTTAAAGACATGGAGAGTGGAACTTTCTGGTTTAAATGCCCTAAATTTCAATATTTCTGGAAGGTGGGTTAGGGAACCTATTGTTATTAGCTCTCAGTTGATCTATTCTAGTCATATCTTAGCCATTGCAGCGTTGAGGACTTGATAAACTTAGTTTTCAAATGCAGAAAATGCTAAACCTAATGGCCATGTCTAAGAATAGATTATTATTTTCTTTTGCGTATCTTACTTAGCGTAGATAAAGGAAAAACTATTGACTAAAAAGAATAATGCAGTATTCTTACCAAGGAAAAATAATATAAGAAATGTGAGAATTCACAGTAATTTAGTAAGGAAAAGATGGTTGGTTTCAGAGTCAATTGTATTAATGAAAGCAGCTTTGCTGGGAGAAGATTGAAACTCATGAGATTTTGCCAAGTGAAACTTCTGGAGTCATCATTGCTGACTGTTCCACGTTAGTCAGACTTGGTACTATTTCAGAGCAAGTCCATTACTTGCAGTCCCAAATAAATATTCACAGAACCTCTGTAATCTTTGTATAATTCTGCTAGTGTTATCTATAATGTAAAAAGGAGGACAATTTTTCTTCCATACCTAAAACAAAACAAAACAAAACAAAAACAACATTTAAAAACAAAGAAAGAACCAAACAAAAAAGCAGAAACGTAAGCTTTTATGTAATTCTTGGTAACTAATACAGGCAACGGTGGGTCTTGAGGAACATTAGAGAGGTGATAGCATAGATTCATAACATGAGAAGGTTAAATATCTTCTTCAGCATTAATGATTGTTATTACAGTACTGTAACGTTCCTGTCTGAGCAGGAATGGGAGAAAATGTAACTTTTTGTGTACGGCAAATTGAAAAGACAGTATTCTGTCACGGGAGGAATTGAAACAGTGATTCAAACAAGACCTTTTTTAGGAAGAGGCAAAACAAACAAACAAAAACAATTTTATTTCATACATAATTGCATTGAATCTCGATGTTAATTTTATTTGGATTTATTCTGTAATACTTCCTATTCAGAATGAGAATAGAGAAAGGGACTAATAAGGAGTACAGGCATCTTGAAAATATAGAAGTAGATGCCCATGTTTTTCAGTGGAGGGTTCCCCAGTTCCTTTTGAGAGATCCCATGGAAGTTGTTTTTTTTTTTCCCCACAATCTCTTTAGAGTTACGTGCTGCTAAAACAGAGAGGCTACTTCAGCTTAGATTACCCAGTTAGCCTGGCATATTGCTGACATGTAGTAAACATGTGTTAGTTGATGTGTACAAGAAAGTGTACAAGAAAAAGGAATCCTTTCTTGTAAGCAAGACTGGAGTGTGTGCCTTGTTGCTAAAAACATTGCATTGCTGTGAGACGTTCAAAAGAGCTCATGGGAATCAACCTAAATAACAGCTGGGGTTGTGCCTTCAAATCCCTTAGCGATTGTGGAAACTCCGCTCTTCCATGCCTCAAACTTAATGCAACCAGAGTTCAGGGGTGTTATAAGGTTTTTGGGTGGGAATGTCAAACAAATGTATTTTGCTCAGTGCATAAACTATCTTTTTGTATTGTAACATATAACCAGATGTTTTCTATTCTTTTTTAACTCCTAACTGTTTGTATGTCATGTATAAACCATAGCCTAAATTGAATTTAAAAGGGATATTTTGTTGACTAGATTTATTGTACACATCAATTTTTTTTGAAGAGCAATGAAATTTCTGCCGTGTTTGAATGTCTTTCCTCCTGGTCTGCTCTCTTTTGTAGTGTCTTTAGCCTCTAGCACTGTTGGTTTGGCTGGGCAGGTCGTCCACACAGAAACCACAGAAGTAGTGCTGACAGCTGACCCTGTAGTAGGGTTTGGGATACAGCTCCAGGGTAGCGTGTTTGCTACTGAGACCTTGTCTTCTCCTCCTCTCATTTCCTATATCGAGTCTGACAGTCCAGCAGAAAGGTGAGGTTCTTTTAGATGACTGCTAAGTGCATTTTGGTGAGCATTCCTTGGGGTGGTTTGGGCTTGTTGCTTTCAATTTGTGAGAAACTGCAAGGCTTTGCTCAATGGAAGAACGACAAGTAACAATCTGTCTGTTCTGATAGTGATATTTCACATGCTTGATCAGCCATAAGAAGAATGGCAAGCACTAGTGCTTTTATCATCCAGAGGAGTCCCTCCAGCAGAAAACTGGAAGCTGTATTCATTCAAAAGCTAAAAAGATATTAAAAGACAAATAAAAAAATTCAGTGTGCAACAAGGAGATGCCATATCCCATTCTGTTAAGTTTTGTTGCCTAACAAGATCTGAGAAAATTCTGTCTGAGTAATTATTTCCTTGCAACATTTCAGTTGTATTTTTATGTATGTTGTTTATCATTCCACGAGATCATGCAGAACATTGGAGTTGCATAGGCAGCTCTGAGCCTCCATGGCAGAGTTGCAACACCTGCAGCCTAGAGGCAGAGCCTGAGCTGATGTCCATGGGTAGAGTGGAGGCACCAAGCTGTGCTCGTCCTCCTGGCCCTGACACCTGAGAAGCACAGCCCTTGTTGGTGGTACTGATAGTGTCGTGATGCAGAAGGGCAGTGGCAGCTGGTATCTCCCAGTGCCTGGGCAGACTGTGGTGCTGCTCTGCCACTTCTTCTTTAAGATTAGGCTGAGTGTGTCTGCTATTTCTGGTTCTGGTAACACGCACATCTGATGATTGTTTTGTCATTGTGTACCAAGATGTGGGGTCCTGCAAATTGGAGACAGAATAGTGGCAATAAACGGTATCCCTACGGAAGACAGCACTTTTGATGAGGCCAATCAACTGCTCAGAGACTCCTCCATCACCAACAAGGTCACTTTGGAAATAGAATTTGATGTTGCAGGTATGAATGTACTGTTATTCTGTCTTGCAAGAAAATCATGGGAATAAATCCCAAGTATATTGCAAGTGTTAGGTATCAAAGATGGGGACTTCTCAAACACACCACTGAGTTTTCAAGTGACCTATTTGAAACATGTCTTTTTGTGCAGCTTTCTCATTCCACATAGCCCTGCAACATACTTCAGAACACAAATAGAAATGACAAGTCCTTAGAAAGATCTGATGACAGTCTCTTCTCTCAGTTATTTCCAGATATATTTCTGCCCTGAGGTAGAAATATTCTGCTTTGCCAAGACAGGCCAGCTAATGAAATGTGTTGCTAGACAATGTGTTACTAGTATTATAATAGGATGGGTAAGCAGAAAGTCCTGGAGAGTTTCACTTAACACTATCTTAAATCAACAATCTAATTAAAACTGTAGAAATTGCATTAGTAAAAGCTAGAAAAGTCATTGTTAATACTACTGGTGAACCTTTATTATTACTTCTTACATTTTTCTTACATTTTTCTGTAATGTGTTTAAGCACACAATATGCCTGTGTAACCACAAATTGTATAAATCAAGCAAGCACACTTAGTCCATGTGCATTATCCCACTATGTAAATAGTAAAAACTTTAAGACTTATGTGCTCGTCTGACAGTAGCTCCTTAGAAGTCTTGTTGGATGTGCTGTATTTTCCATAGTATAGTTATTGTTAGTGATACTGTAAGTCATGATGCCAAAAGCAGGCTAAATGTCCTTACAGCAATTCTTGTGATTTTTCAGTATATTTAGTATACTATAAAAAAAAAAGGCCAAATGCAACATGTGCTTCTGTATATATACGAATTGGAATACTAAAAAGTAAGAAAACAAAATAACAAAAAAAATGACATCTAAGTATACCTGAAGTCACAGGGACTGTAAGGTTTGTGTTTCAGTTCCCAGACTTGTGTTCTTCCCATTTGCTCCATAACAGACTGATGATTAGACTCTCTTGCAACCTATATGTTTACATACCTACATAGCTGTAATTTTAATTACCTCCTTTTCAAGCAAGGGCCCAGACTTAGAAGCAGTAACGCAGAAAGTCAGAGTTCAAATGCAGTGCTGTGTGGGGCTTTTTTTTGGCTCTGTCATCTTCAGATGATTCTTCATTAGTGATGTTTTCATCTCTTTCTTCCCAGTGGATGTAAAATCCATGGCAGTTGCCTTAGCAAACAGTTAAAAATATATTAGACCTACAGCAACAAAGAATTGAAATTCTTAAGACTTGATCTCCTTTCCTTCTAATTAAAATCTGTCTGCCAGTCCTAAAATTTTCATGCGCACTCACAAAAATTGCATACCAGCTAAAATCATGCAGTCTCAGCTGACTGCTGGTCTGTGCAATCTCCATAAATTCAGTTAAACCTTGGGAAAATAAATTGAGTTACTGTGAAATTACCAATAGAGGTATAAATCATACTTTGTATGTCCTACTTTCTTCACTTCAGCACCCATATTTCCTGCTGACTCGTAATGCTGATGTGATTTCATTAACTTACATGTGTCATTCCATGAAATGAGAATTGCTGTGTCTTATAAATTATTTAACATTTGAAGTTGTTTTTTGTACCTTTTTTTTTTTAAACAGAATCAGTTATACCAAGCAGTGGAACATTTCATGTAAAACTACCAAAGAAGCATAACGTGGAACTTGGCATCACCATCAGCTGTAAGTGACAGTGCTTGCCTTTAAGACCACAGTGATGGAATAATATGCAGACAGTAGATCCTTATAGATTTGTGGATAGCTATAAGCTCATTCTTGTTTTGGTAAAAAACTTCTTTTTTCTTTTCCTAGAATGAGATGGTTAGCAGTTCCATGTCTCAGATGAAATATTATCTTGTAACAGATTTGTATCCTCTCCAACATTTATAGAGGCCATACGTTTGCTAGACCTAAGGCTTGACCTATTCCTTCATGTGTAATATATATGTAAATCTCATTAAAGTAAAATAAATTTTTAAATGTCGGTAGAATTAGATAAATTAGGTATGTGCACAAGAGAACGGCACAGAACTGTACCAGGGGACATTCAGACTGAATAGTAGGGAAAATTTGTTTACAGTGACAGTGGTCACACACTGGAACAGGTTTCCCAGTGAAGTGGTTGCTGCCCCTTGCCTGTCAGTGTTTGAGAGCCATTTGGATAATGGCCTAAATAACTTTTGATCAGGCAATTGGACTTGGTGATCTTTTAAAGTCCCTTCCAGCTGAACTATTCTATTCTGTGCTATGCCATGCCATGCCAAGCCATTCTCCTCCACTCCATTCCACTTAACCAGGCTTGTGGGTAAGTGGCTTTGTATAAAAAATATTTTTTGTCCCAAGACAAGATGTTTTTTGTTTGGAGTTTAATAGAACTGCTAAACTTGAAGATAGGTTGCGCCTATTATAGGGATTTTGGCTGGGTGAAAAGCCACTCAGAGTCTGTGTTTAAGTCACAATATTCTTTTATTTGAGTTAACAGTGAAATAAGGAAGAGGTTTTAATTTTTAACATAATGGCACTACAAAACTGATCTACAAAACTGATGATGTTTCACTGAACTTACATCTAAGTAGGAATTACAAATAGGCAAGTTGAGTGTGTCTTTACCAATACAAGTGGAATAGAGGCCTGTGACTGATAAGTGGGATCACAGAATCATTTATAAAGAGAGAACTTGCTGAAGATCAAAATTCTAGCTGCAGTGATGAATTTACAATTTTATGCACTCTTCAGTCCTCTTGTAGTTCATCACACAAATTTTGTAAGATCTCCACAGGAGTTCAACAGTAAGTAGACTAAGAACTGGATCAGAGGAGAAAAGGTGAGATCTTCGGTGGACAAGGAAAGAAACTGAGAAGAGCCATAACAGGGAGACAAGAGATGAGGGAAGAGATTGAGGTGTGATAATGGGATGGGGATGCTGGGACTGTAACAAGAGGGCTGGATGTGGGTGAGCAGTAAGGTGAGTGAAAAGAAGCAGATGTGACAAGGAGCTGTTAAGCAGGGGAAAGAAAGTAATGTCAGGAAGATAGATGCATATTCATGCATGAGGCTTCTCGTTCTGTGTGTTTGGTGGCCCTGCTAGGCAGGGGGGTTGGAACTACATGATCCTTGAGGTCCCTTCCAACCCGGGTGATTCTGTGATTCTGTGATTCTGTGATTCTGTTCTCTGGCATGGGCAAGGAAAGAAAGAGTAAAATGGATCTGATGTGGACTGTGAGCAGACTGACTAACTATGCAAGGGACTGGAGCCCTTCCCAGGACTAGACCACAGGGTTCCTAATTTGCAGTGTTTTCTAGTAACAGCACATTTATCTTCTTCCATCCTGTCCTCTTCCACATGTAATTCTGCACTTGGATCTCAATTTTTTTATGCCTGCTTTTGGTCTTTACAAGTACAGGTTTGATAGTGTTTGATGTTTGATAGTGATTGTTTTTAAATGCTTTCTAAAATCAAAAGTAACTCTGAACTGAAACAAAACTAGAGGCTTAAGGTCATATAGTGTCACTTCAAACATCTTGTGTTAATTTGTGAGGATACCTTTCTTAATTCAGTGGTCAAATATTGCTTTCTTGTTCTTCCTTCTCCACTCTCTGGGGTGAAATGAAACTGTTGCATAGCAGAGGGGATGAAGGCTGCATAATGAATGAGGAGAAGACAGCAAAAAGCAAAAGGAGGTGATCTCGCGGTCAAGAAAGTTTTATGCTACCCTTGAGAAATTATTTTTTTCCTTTTCCTTGTGATAGAACTGTGCTGTGATGCCAGTCATTTCACAGGGAAAACGAAAAAGACAGAGGGAGAAAAAAGACTTTTTCCACACGTGACTACTTGATTTTGTGGAGAAACACTGGAGAACCTGGAGTCACTCTTGAAAAAATGCTGGGCAGTTACAACTGTTGCTGAAAATGCCAGCAGTTGGGCTTTGGACATAGAAACTGTTACATAATACAAACTATTGTAAGAAATTAGGGCATGGATATCTCAAATTGCTCACTGAAAAATGGTCGTACTTTGACTTAAAATTTGTTGTGCTTCTTTTCCTTATCTATAAAATGAGGAAAACACTACTCAATCTTCTTGCAGGGGACAGTCTATTTGCTAGTGTTTGGGAAACAGTCTTAGGCAGCAGTGATGTGCAGTACAAAAGTTAAGGAGGCAACTGAAGATCTTATCTGTGCAACAGAACTTAAATAGTTTGTACTAAGTCTGTCATGAACATTGAACTACCAGAACAAACCTACAAAGTGTGATATAGCTGCTTATTAAGGGCTTGTCAGCGTAGGGGAATTCGTTTCACACCAAGCTGTGTTTGCTTCCTGCTAAATGACTTTCATCCACTAGACAATACTACAGGGTAACTGACAAAATGCAGCTGGTTCAGGCTGCTTCAGTTTGAAACTTTAATAAGTTTGTGTACAACGTCTCATCCTTTGTCTCCCTATGTACTCTGTGGATTCACATTTTGAGTGTTCTCTCTGCCCTTTTTTGATTTTTTTCTCTTTTTGGAACAATAAAGGACTGTTTTCTTTAGTACTGATAATTTTTTAAATCAGTTCAATAAAAAGTGTCTCAACACACAAATCTCAAAGAACAAGCATTGTACTTGCACGTGACCTCAGAGATTTATGAAACAACACAGAAGGTAAAACATTGTATTAAGAAAAAGTTTACAAAAGAGATATTTCAGAATTTTAACAAGATACCAACTGGGAGACACCACTGGGAGGCTTTCCCAAGGTATTCAAGTAAATCATAGAACTGACATATAAGACATATTTGACCTCTGGCATGCAAGTGTGAGAAAGAAGCTATGAAAGTCAGATATCTTGCAAAAAGTTAACTGCTGTTCTCAAATTGGAACATATGCACTTTCCTGAAAGCCTGCTGTTTTAGAGAAGTTTCTAAAAGATCTTGAAATTTTTCAGACTTCTGTCTTCTGCACTTTCAAGATGCTACATGTGAAATATGGCACATCACCAGTATTTAAACAATTCTTGTGGATGTTCAGAGGCTTTCTCAGCCAGGGCAGCCAGCATTAAGAAGATCTGTTAGAGCACTATTTTGGAAATGTCTTTATTAATACACCTCATGATTGCTGTAGAAGTGGATCTGTTTTCTACCAAAGAGAAGAATCATGAGTCGGGCTGTGGACTCTTTTCTCACCTCAGCAGCTCTAGGTGGTGTGCATCCTGACAGTTGACACAGCGTTCTCTAAGGACGTGTCTTTCACCAGTTCTCAATTTCTGATCCCACTGCTTGCATCCCATCAGCTGTCCAAAGCAATGCACTCACTGAAGCTGTGAGCCAAGAATCAGTCCTCTGGATGCAGTCAGTCATTGTTCTTTTCTTCCTCTGGGGTAGCTAACCCAGAGATCCAAAAGTCAAATGAAATTGCTAAGCTGCACTGTGAACGGCCTGCAGAACTTGCCAAGGGAAACCTGGCAAATGCTTTTGCGCAAGTAGTTAAAGAACGGCAGTGACTGGCATTGTAGAGCACAGCATCATTTTAATGATGATGGACAGTCAGCAAATAGAGAATAACATCAGACACTTCTAAGAAGAGGTGAGGTATTAACTTGAATATTACTAGAGTTGCAGTGGTTCATTGCACTGTCCAAAGTGGGCAGAAGTGTTCAATGATTAATGCTCAGCAGCAGCACAGAGGAGAAATGTTACTCAACAAAAGGGACACATTTATTTCAGAAGAAGCAATGAGCCATCGTGAAGCAAGCATCCACATGGTGTCACCTATATCTGTGTAGATGTGGTGACTGTGTCAGCCCAGCCTAAGTGTGGCAGTTATCCACAGGATCTGATTCACTGAAAAGCAGATAGCAACTTTCTCATCCAGGCAGCGCTATCTTCATGCCTCTGCTGTAAACACTGAATGAGATAAGAGCAGACGTAAAGAATGTGGTATAGCCCAATCTAGAAATTTTGCCAGAACAGCTCTGTTTGGGATCTGCTGACACCAATCTTCCCTTGTATGTTGGAGCTACTTTATGAGGTATCATGTAGCTGTGTCATGGTATCTTCACATGGTTGAGTCCTGGCCTAATCCAGAATTCAGACATACCCGATTAAATTCTCTTTGCACTAGTCACCTTAGTTCTGGAATTTTCTAGTTTTTAAAAAGTAGACTTTGCAGTCTTGGTGATATGCTGCTGCCATTTGTATTAATCTATCTATAGAATAGAGGAAGGGGAGAAATACAATGCAGATAAATAATGTGTAGGAAATATTGATTTCAAGATATAATTTTAGCCTGTGTGCATTTATAAAAATAACAACAGATGCTTGTATCTATTCTTTGTTACAGCTCCATCCAGTAGAAAACCAGGGGACCCTCTAGTTATTTCTGATATCAAGAAAGGAAGTGTTGCTCACAGGTAAGATATCCAGTAAAAATCTGTTTCCACTGCATAGCCAGCTAGACTCAAACAGAGGAAACCTGTAGGAACCTTCTGCTTTTATTTAGTGCACAGCAGTTACATGTGAAACGTCCAGCGTGTTAAGAAATATTTTTTTTAAAAAAAAAGCTATACTGTTTCTTTATTAGTGTTTATACTTTCTAAAATACTTTAATATTACTAGCATTTCATGTAATCTTATTTACTTGTTCACAGGACCGGGACATTAGAACTGGGTGATAAGTTGCTTGCAATAGATAACATCCGACTCGACAATTGCTCAATGGAAGATGCTGTTCAGATCCTTCAGCACTGTGAGGACCTTGTGAAGTTAAAGATCCGTAAAGATGAAGATAATTCTGGTATTAACAATGAACCTATTTCAGATTCTTACGTATTTGCAGGTTTACTCTTTTGCATTTAGATTTTAGTGAAATGGTTTTGCCAAACACTGCAGATTTTTGCTAATGCCAAAGTGAAATATATATATAATATGTATTTATTATTTATTATATTATCATTACATTAGTATTTATTATATATTATGTAGTAGTTTTATATATATATATATACACATATATATTTATATATACACATACATACACACACACACAATTTTGTATTATCTAAGTGGTATATTGCCTGCAGAAGCTGAGCTGCAAAAAGAAATCTTTGGTTTTCTGCAAAGGCAATTTCCCTTCAGGTGTAAACATAGAAAGCTGATCTTTCCCTTATCAGTATATTGAAATTTTCTCTACTTTTAGGACTGACCTGCTGGTCATGCTTCTCTTAATGCAACCCAGGATACAGTTGGCCTTCTGGGCTGCGGGAGCACATTGTAGCTCATATTGAATCTTTCATCAACTGACACTCCCAAATCCTTCTCAGGGCTGCTCTCAAGCCACTCTCTGCCCAGACTGTATCTGTGCTTGGGATCGCCCTGACCCAGGTCCTTGCACTTGGCCTTGTTGAACTCCATGAGGTTGGCATGGGCCCGTCTCTCTGGATTGCATCCCTTCCCTCTAGAATGTCAACTGCACCACTCAGCTTGGTGTCACTGCAAATTTACTGAGGGTGTAGTTGATCCCACTGCCCGTATCACCTACAAAAGTATTAAATAACACTGGTCCCAGCACTGATCCCCAAGGAAGGTCACTCATCACCAGTCTCCACTTGGACATTGAGCCATTGATCACAACTTTCTGAGTGCAACCATCCAGCCAATTCCTTATCCATGGAGTGGTCCATCCATCAAATCAATTTTTCTCCAACTTGGCAACCAGGATGTCGTGCGGAACAGTGTCAAATGCTTGCAGAAGTCCAGGTAGATGACATCAGTTTTTCTTCCTTTATCTATGATGCTGTAACTCCATCTTAAAAGGCCACCAAGTACATCAGACATGACTTGCCCTTGGTTGGGGCAATACTGGGGCAATGTTGGTTACCTCCAATCACCCTGTCTTTATTTTCCATGAGCCTTAGTAGGGCTTTCAGGAGGATCTTTTCCATCATCTTGCCACAGATGAGACATAGGTGAGAGTGACCAGCCTTTAGTTCCTGCTTCCATTCCCTACAGACTTTCTTTTTGTACTTAAGTAAGTTCAGGAGCTCTTTGTTGATCCATGGAGATGTCCTGGAATTCTTGCCCGCCTTCCTTTTTCTTGGGATGCACTGCTTCTGGGCTTTCAGGAAATGGTCCTTGAATACTGACAAGCTTTCTTAGGCTCCTCTTCCCTCCAGGGCTTTATCCCACATCCCCCTGCCAAGCAGTTTCCTGAAGAGTTCAAAGTCCACTCCCCTAAAGTTCGGAGTAGCAAGCTTGTTGCGCACCCTTTTAGATGCCCTAAGGATCTTCAAATTCCACATTTCATGGTCACCACAGCCAAGGCTGCCCTTTAGCTTCACATTACTCACTAGCCCCTCATCATTGGTGAGGACAGAGTCCAACACAGAACCTTTTCTTTTGGGTTTCTGTACCACTTGAAAGAGGAAGTTATCATCAACATATTCCTGGAACCTCTTTGATTTCTGGTACCCTGCTGTATTGTCCTTCCAACAGATACCAGGGTGGTTGAAGTCTCTCATGAGAACCATGTTTTGTGAATATGAAGCAGGTCCTTTCTGTTCATAGAGGGCCTGATCCACTCGGTCTTCCTGATCAAGCAGCCTGTAGCAGTCTCCCACTACAATGTCTTTTTTCCCTGCTTTCCCTTTAACCCTAACCCATAAGCTCTCAGTCAGCTTATCATCTATCCCCAGGTGGAGCTCTATGAACTCCAGCTGGTTGTTGATGTAAAGGGCAAAACCCTCTTTCCTTCTACCCTGCCTGTCTTTCCTAAAGAGTTTATACCATCAATTTCTACATTCCAGTTATGAGAGCTATCCCCTCATGTCTCAGTGATGCCAATGGCAGCACAGTCCTGCCCATAACTCTTCTTGCTTGTTCCCCATGCTCCATGCGTTAATATACTGGCATTTGAGTTGGGCTACCATTGAGGCTGATTTATCAGTTGGAGTTCCCTTATCCTGCACCTTAGGTACTGACCTGTGATCCAACTCCAGGTCCAGGGCAACCATTACCATCACCAGGCTCAAAGTGGGATGGTTTGATTATCCTCCCCCTAGCAAATCTAGCTTAAAGCCCTCCTGATTAAATTGGAAAGCTTGTTGCCAAAGATGATTTTCTCCTTCACTGAGAGATAAACCCCATCGTACCCCAGAAGACCAGATTTCTCAAAACTGGCTCCATGATATAAGTAGCCAAATTCCTGTTCATGACACCGTCCCCTTAACCATTTAACCATTGATTTTTTTTAATTCTATCAGCCCTTTCCCTTCCCATTCCCCTAACCAGGAGCACTGATGAGAAGATTCCCTGTGCTCCCCTGTTCTTCACTCCCAAATCTGTTCCAGCTGCCTTGAAGTATCATTCCAATACCCAGGCCTCCAGCTGAACTATGAATATTGTTTTCATGTATGTGCCATTTGCCAGTGCCAAGATAGTGCCAGGTCCTGATAGGCCCCTACAGCTCACCAGTGCTATTCATCTCTCAGAGGACTGAATCATCAACAAGCACCAAAAAGGACACTGTGCAAACCACAAGGACACAATGGTCACAGAATGACCAAGTGTGTGCTGCTGTCATTCTTGCACTTTTTGCTATCTTTTCCATTCTGATTGCTGTTATCATTCAGTACTTTGTAATAAAGTAAAGAAAGCAGGTTTATGTTAGAATGCTGCCCATTACATTTTACTTTATCATAATCTAAAAAAATATCTGTTCTCTCGCTTTTACAAAAACAGGCATTTAGCACTGGCATTGGGACTAATGCAAACCCTTTCAGCCACTTTAAATGCTTACTGGTAGGTGTAGGCTGACACAGAAATGCAATCTTTTTTTTAATATTCACTGCTGCTCCCACTCCTTGTAGTCCCTCTTGATATTCTTCAGGTTACTAACAGTAGTGTCACTGGTGCCTATGTGAAACAGCAGCAGTGGGTAGTAGTTTGTGGGACACACAAGGTCTGGCAGCCTCTGTCACAGAATGCTCTTCTCCTTCAGCTGCTTTTGAAAGCAGATCGTTTCATCTCAATATGACCAGTGCAAAACAAAGACAGATTTCTTGCTAACCTCCCACATGTGCTTTTTTGAGGAGAGGAAAGCAGGGAGGAGTAGTTCTTCCTCCCTAGGTTCTTGTTTCCCCTCTGTCTTTCTAGTATTACCTTCTTCTGGTATTCATTTAACGTATTTGTAGCTTCTAGCTGTCTACTCCTGTCTACTCTTGGTTTTCTTTGCTCTCTCTATACTCCACCTTTCTGTAGATCATTTTAGATATAGAAATGATATGAGAAATGATATGAGAATATGAAATATATATGAAATGATAATGAGAAAAGATATGAGAAATATTCAAAGAATTATCCACAATTGCATCACTACAGGAAAAGAAAGAAGGAAATTCTCAAAAGCATAAGACTCCCCAGCATCTTAATTTGATTGCATTTCCTCCCCAGGTAGAAGCATGTTTTCAGAGCAATTTTTCCTTTTTTTTTTTCCTGCTAGTTTCCAATTCTGAGGATAATTTTATCTCCTGAATAACCTAATGGCTACCAGCCTTTTTAGCATATCAGAATTTTTTGCTTTCATGGGAGAACTGGCCTTTATTCTGAATTCAGGCCACTTTTAGGCCTTTTTTTTTTTTTAATAGCTTTCATTTGTACTGCCTGGAAAGAACACCAAAGAGAGTAGTGTAGCAATTTGACATTTGTTGCATTCGACCATTAATTTTCTTAACTAGAGCTCTCCAGAAGAAAGGCAAAATGGACTGGTCTACTTTCTAGTCAGTCACTAAGATCTATAAACTTCCAACTCTCATGTGGCAGGACTGCTGCATGATAAATATCTTCTTATCCACTTGCCATTGGTAAAAGAGAAATGTTAGCATTGTGTCAGTCCCTAGTAGATGCTGGCTATTGCATTTTCAATTAGCTTGGGGTATTACTCTTCATCCTTCTGTTGAAGTCCTGTAACATGTCAATGCCACACCTGTGTAAACATTATCAGCGTCAGGTCTCAGAGGATTTGTCATTGCCCCAGGAACACTCCAACAGGCAAGCCAGAGCAATCTACTATAGAAAAATCTGCTTTGGCAGGGAGGTTGGATTGGATGATCTCCAGAGGTCTTTTCCAACCCCAACCAATCTGTGATTACTCTGTGGAATGATTCTGTTCACAATAGCAAGTGGGAAATAGGGGGGATTTGGGATGGAGGGAAACTAGACCTAAATTTTCTGCAAACTGGGAAGAAGCAAACTAACATCAAAGATATTAGTGTTTCTCCAGCTCTGCTGAAATATCGCATGCAGTGTTAGAAGGAAGCAATACTTTGAATCTATGGAGTGACGCAGTTTTCTTTTTCTCCTCTTAAAATTTTTCATTGACTGCAACAAAAATGTGAGCATTTGAATTTTCTGACTTGTCTGAAGTTAGTTCTAGTCACATTTACTCACTGTGCATCTTAGACATTTTCCATACTTACTGAACCATTCAAAATGTCATTACCCACGGATCTAGAAAATGTTGCTTGCCAGGCCACACACCTTGGCTGAATACCAATATCATAAGATGGGCAAGGGAGCATTTGACCTGAGGAGAAATAGGAGAAATTTGACATCTAAAGTTTTAAAATATACATTCACAATTAAAAGATACTCCAGTGGATTTCTCTCCTACTGTGGTACATCTTAGATAATATGTGAAGGACATGCTCTGTATTAATAAAGCAACCTTTCTTGTTGATGCAGCACCAATTAGGTACCACTCACAGAAAATACACTTAGCTTAGCCAGAAATAAATTCTTTACATTTATGATGATTATTTGGTGAGACTAAAATTTCAAAATAATACAAAAGTCAGGCAAATAGGGAAATAAATAAAATTGAATGGAATTCTTATTCCATTCAGTAAATAATTCAGAATTCAGAAGCTATTTTTTATTCAATTATGAAAGCTTAAAATTTCTCCATTAAAAAGAGGGGATGTATTACAGGTTGTCTTAGTAAGACAGATGTTCATCTTATGATGACTTTTGGCCGTTCCCACAACTTTTTTAAGGAAGTTAGTTTTAAAAAGTTTTGAAGTCTCCTTTGTTACAAATACCTCCCATTCAGTTCAGCCATTAGTAAAGTATTTCTTCTCTAATAAAATAGCCTGACGTCACATTTTAATAGGAAGAAGATACTAAGATTTTAAAAGTCCTGTTACAGTAAGGAGAGTTGTTTTAGCGACGTCAATATAAGCATGTTCTTATAAATAAAGAAGAAATAAAGAAGAAATTGCACAAGCTGGTTGTTTTCTTTCTAAATAATCCAGTAGAGTGTGATGAAGAAGTGTACTGAAATATAATCCTGAAAATGTTTTTGATTACCAGTCACTAGATTGAATGTGTTGTTTTTTTCATTCCCTCTTTCATAAGAAACCAACTGCATCTGTTTGGCATTTATTGCAGATGAGCAGGAGAGCTCAGGAGCAATTATTTATACTGTTGAGCTCAAGCGCTATGGTGGACCTCTTGGAATTACAATCTCTGGTACAGAAGAGCCTTTTGATCCCATAATCATTTCCAGCCTTACAAAAGGAGGATTAGCTGAAAGGTATATTGGAAGGCAAATTACTTTAATTCTTTTTGTCAAGATAAAGATTAATTTTGTTGACCCTACCATGCTAATTTTCATGTTTTAGCAGTTCTTTGGATCTGAGTTTATAACATTTTCGCTGTCATTTTGTGATGTTTACTGAGTTTGGGAACATGAGGAATATCTTAACAGGATGTTCTTGCGTATACTACGCAAATCAGAGCAAATTGTGATCTGTATTTCAGATATCATTGGAAAAGCTACTCAGTCACAGGAACATTCTTTTAAAGGTGGTAGCCTTTTGTATTAGGACAGGTGAGGAAAGCACTAAATGTATCTAAGTTTATCTGAAAACATTCTTCTCATAGTATGCACGCAGTGTCTGTATACGCACTCACTTATACCATAGCTATCTGAGGAGCAGAAACTCTCCTCATGGTAAGTAATGGATAGAGAGTAATTGAAATGCTAAGGTCCTCTGTCACCTGTCACCATTAAGACAGGTAGAGCCATTGCAACTTGTATGTTTCATGGTTGTTTCGGAGAAAAAAACACAACAGAACTGTTTTACAGAACACGAAACACGATTGTTTTGCTCAGCCAGAACAGGAGTGCATTTACACAAAGAGAATTTGTTTTCTTCCTGTGATGCAATCCATCTGGAAAGCCACATTGGTGAAATAGCAGGCTGCTTGCTCTCGCTGCCATTATCTGTTCTGTGACTCTAGAAACATTACATTAATTTCAAAATCTATCCAACTGTCTGAGATTATTCTTACTCAGATGGACTGCAATGAATATCATCCACAGCTTATTAACTACTGCAGTAACACTGAAATCTGAATCTCCATCCTTCGGCTCTGCTGTTGTCACCACAACAAAGGTGACTTGCTTCAAGCGTTTCTAACAATAGAATTACTATGAATGCAAAACAAGAGAAAGATGAGAGTTTAATGCCTCCAAATATGCAAAGAAATGGTCTCTTTTTTTTTTTTTTTTTTGTTTGTTTGTTTGTTTGTTTGTTTGGTTGGGTTTTTTTTTGCTGCTCTTCTAATGTTTAATTTCTCTCTTGCTGTAGAACTGGGGCAATCCACATAGGCGACAGAATCCTAGCAATAAATAGTAGCAGCCTAAAAGGAAAGCCTTTGAGTGAAGCCATTCATTTATTACAGATGGCAGGAGAAACTGTCACCTTGAAAATCAAGAAGCAGACAGATGGTAAGTATGGCCAAAGTAGCATCAGTGATCTTTAATGAGTTGTTTTTACAGATTACGAAGCGTTTAGGCTGTCTCCGGAGAAGATGTCAGGTCAGTAGCAGAAAAAGCATGCTCTTAGAACTGCATTAATGACCACCCCCCACCCTTTTGTTTTTTGTTTTTTAATAATCCTGTTCAGCTACCAGTCCCAAGAAGTTTTCTGTCCCTGTGGGTCATATAACTGAACTGAGTGATGCTGAAGATGAAACCTCTGCTACACAGAAATCTGGCAAACTCTCAGACATCTATTCTGCTACAGTCCCCAGTGTTGACAGCGCTGTAGAGTCATGGGATGGCTCTGGTATTGATACCAGCTTTGGAAATCAAGGTACTATCAAGAGTGCTATCAGTGTTTAAAGTGGAAATTATTGTCTTCCTGGTTGACCTTCCTTTGCCCTGAAGACAACCTTGCTTGTACTAAGTTTAAACCTTTTACTTTGTAATGCGGTGGAGTGTTATAACCACACACCTTGGCAGGCAACATGATTTCTTATGCGTGGCTGGCCTCAAATACATTCTTTTATGACGATGTGCTGTGTTATGAAGCATTTATCAATACATTAACAGGCTTTTGTTAGCTTTTCTGACATCTGAATAGCCCAGTCCATAGCTCAGACACAACTAAATGAGTTTATCCTTCAAATATAGATCAATGCAAAGCACAGATCACTCTAAAGGTGTTCATGAATTTGATACCCACAGGCAGTAATTTTTAACAGACAACAGATTTATTATAAAATGCTGAAGGGAGAAATTTAAACATTGCTCATGATTTGTAAAATTTGCTTCTCCCTCATTACTGCAGTATGGACAATTAACTTTCAGCCCTCAAAAACTATTTTTCAGTTGAAAGACATGATTTTATACTAAGTTTTATACTTCTGTTTGACTTGTTTCAATAAGATTTTCAGTATTTTTTTTTAAATAAGAATGGTTTGTTTGAAACAAGGTCAAGAAGTAGCTGATGTTACTGCTAATGTCTATTTTTTTTTGTTCTTTAACTTTTAAATATTTCTTAGCCTTACTGCACGTATTTTGTCATAAACTTTCCTTTCCACGGGATGGTCTCAATACTCTTAATTACAACTCCTGTTTTCTACGTTTTACTTTTAACTTACTGTTACACATAACATTTTATTTTATACCCAATGTAATGAGCTGATCTCCTCCTGTGTAATTTGTATTTCACTGGAGTTAGAATTGGAATGAATTTGTTGCCTTTTTTGTTTTTAACTGTTCTGGCTAGCTTAACACATCATGTTAGAGTTTCTTCTGTTTGTTTTTGTTGTTGTTGTTGCTTGTTTGTTTTGTTTAAAGTTGTAGGGAATATATTTCTGAGAAAGTGAGAACATGATGGCTCTCATTTTGTATTTGAATTGATTACATCTGAGGCAAATTATTCAAGTGTGGAAAGAACTGAGGTCCAGAGTGCTCTCTTAAATCCCGGTCATTCAGACTCTATACCAAAAATTAAACCACTGTCTCAAAATGTTTTTCATGTCTCCCTTAAGTAAATCACCCCATGCTTGGCTGGGTCCACAGTACTTCTCTTAAGCAGCCTGTGTGTAATCAGAGTTGCACTTTACTGTGTGCAACTCTCTTGCTGTGGTTCTACTGTGACCCACATTTCTATTAAAGTTCATTCTGTGTTGACCTGTCAAGTTGTTTGGCTTCTTTCCAAACCTTTTTTGGAGTAAGTACAGGCAAAGCAAAATGAGGAGTTTGGGGAATGTTTCTGGAGCTCCAGATAATGCTTTATCCTATTAGTTGCTAATTCAGTGCTGGTGAGACATCCTTTTTCTCCTTGAATTGACACCCTGTTTTGTACCATTGTCTGCTATGTGTGCCTTAGTAATCTGGAGGATTCCCCACACAACAGTCACATTTTCACATTCAAAACCCTTCATAGAAATTAGGAGTCCGTTAATGTTTGTCAGTTAGCTGGAAAAAAGCACACAATTCTGTGGTTGCCTGGGATTTAAGGGAGACCGGTCTGGACTGATATATGGAAGTGAATTGCCCTCCTTAGAGAGGTGACAGCAGTGGTATGGGTTAGCCATCAACAAAACAGAATTTTCTAATACACAACACACATCAGAAAATGCCAACTACAGAGACTGAAAAAGGAATTTGTCAAGGTGAAATATGTATGTACAGCAGTTCTACTGTACTGCAATTTGTGTACCGGATCACCATCAGATTGTGACAAGCTAATCCATATGTTCTTTTTAATATGTTGCTTAAAAGCTGGACTCCATTGGCTTCCTACTTGCAATTTAAATTAGAATTAATTCAGTAAAAGAAAAGCTATTCAGCTACCACTAATGTTGCTTTTAAGATAAAAGCATGCAGAAAAAACTCTTCATATACCGAGGCTGTCTAATGCCACTTGCACAGCCTTGAAACACTTGGAAATAGCTGAGAGAAAAGTCTCTTTCTGCAAGTTGAGCTTTCCAAGGGTGTTTATTGTTCCCAGGTGCACATCTCCTGAGACGGGCCTTTCCTCAGCTTTCCTAGTGAAAAGCAACAGCCCTGACAAGAGCAAGTCCCCTCTGCCTAAAGGGTCGTGCTGTGTAGGTCGTGCATGTTGAGTCTTTTCTCAAAGCAGCACAGCTACACAGAGTTGTGACGGCTGTGACAGCACAGTCCTACACCTGTGTTACTGATCCCTTGCCCCATCAACCTCCTTCCTGGTGGGGCACTTAATCCAGCCTCTGTGCCATACCAACTTTTGCATCTAAATAGCCATAATGCAGATCAGCAGTGTGCAAAATTGATCCTAATACGTCCCTAATTTTTGGCTGCATTGCTTCCAAATTTGAGGAAGTTACTAAGAAGAAAAAACTGTCTTGCTTGTCCTCCAAGAATTCAAGTTTGTATGTTTCTTTTAATGAATCCTTTCAAACTCCATTTAATAGATCTGAAGTATTTTTTCCTTAATAGATTAAGTTTTGGATATTTCATACATGATCAAGTTAACACATGGTGGACATTCGTAACTTATTCGCTAATATTCAAAGTCAAGTCAAATTGGAAACTGATAAACTTGTGGAAATGTCCTGCACAAAGTGTTGGAAGAAGATGAGACAAAGGATAGAAAATCTGAGTTGGATATATTTAAGATTTTGTTTTTGATAACTTTCACAGAAGAAGCTTTAGAGCACTGCTAATTTGGGGAACAAATGAGGTAATTTATTATGCTAAATATCTGGCTGCTACTGCTGCTACTACTGCTACTACTACAATAGCAATAATTATCAGCCCACGTTCAAGTTCTACAAAACCTAGTTTTAAAGGTCTACTTTTTTGTCCTTACAATATATACAGTGTCATGAATATACAATTCATCTTTTTAGGACCCAGCTATCAGGCTTCAGGATACAACTTCAATGCCTATGAATGGAGGAGTCCTAAACAGAGGGGCAGTTTGTCCCCTCCAAGCAGACCACGAAACCACCCATTTCATGACACAGCACTGAGCGATGATGAATGGGACCGACCTGCGGCAAGCAGGTAAGCTCTTGTTCAAGTTTTTCTTTTCTTATCTTCAGCTGCATTAATGCCTCAAATAAGGACGTTTATTGTATAGAATGAAATTATTATTTTCTAACTCATCTATAGCAGCTCATTCCCTAAATATGAGTTATAGTATTTATGATTAATGAAACTTATCAGAGTATATAAATGGTGTTTGTGGAAGATTATGATGCCAAAAACAAGGCACATATTTATTTTCAGTTACTTAAAAACAAACAAACAGAAACAGAACAAAACAAAGATTTCAGTACTCATTGTACCTGTTGGTCAGGACTTGCACATCCTTCACTAGAAATACACACATTCTAGAGATACTGCACATTGTGTAGTATCACAGTGAGCCTGAAGTCTCAGTTTATAGTTTAGTACAGCAGAAAATCTTTCCTCTATAAGCCTGCTGGATAAGTAAATCCGTAAGTTTTAAATCAGTTAGCTTTGAAATGTAAATCAAAGCAGGGTTTAGATGACTGTGCAGCTTTTCAGAAGCTGACTGATAAATCCTCCGATACAGCAGATTGCCCAATGGCATTTTATATGGGGACAAGTCTGTCAGGATGATACAAGTGTGAATACTCAGCCTCTGTCCAGCTCCTCTGGTCCCTGGCCAGAAATATGCTAGAAGTTTTCATAGGCTATTAATGGAAACCATTTAATAAAGGAAATAATTGTTTCCTTCCCATTTTTATTAAGTGTGCTGTCTTTAATGTGAGAGCAGTATTTTTATCCACATTAAAAGCTCATCTTTTGGTTCCCAGATAAGGTGCAGCCTCAGATTCCAGATCACCTGCTGTTTTACAATTACATAAGTAATAGGTTGAAAAAGTTGATGAGCAGTGAACCAGAAAGCCAGACTGTAAAATGCAGAATATTCTACATTACAAGCATGTATTCCGCTACCAATTTAAAGCACAGTTCAAAAAAAGTATGCACATTAAAGTGGCTTGTTCTACTTACACCTGAGAGATACAGCAGAAATTAAAATAATGGTTATTTTAATATTGTATTTGTAAAATGAATTATGCCAGACCTCATAGTGCTCCTGTGCCAAGTGCTAGAGTATTAGAGAAGGATGTATCTGTTCTTCCAGCCTGTGAAAGATAACTCCAGAACCTCTATGCTTCTAGCTAAGCACTCTGTCTTCTCTCTACGCTAAAAAGTAATTTTTCTTACCTTTCTTTTGTGTAGCACAGCTTCCAAGAACATGTGGCAACAGAAGGAGACTGAGACATTGGGAGAGAATCAAGAAAATCACTTAAAGCAAACTTCTGTAGAAAGGTCAGGGGGAGAGAATATCAGGAGCATGAAGAAAGAGGGCAAGCTGTGGAAAGGTGCCTCTGGTGGGCAGAGGAAAGGTGGGGGACAGCTGGAAGAGTGGAATACTTCCAGGTAGGAAAACTGTGCACAGGAGTGAGACCTGACTGGGCTTGGGCTGAGGAGGAGGGAGGGAGGAAAGAAAGTAAAAACAGTTAAAATGAGAAAGAGGAGAAAAATGGGTAAAAGCAGAAAGCACGTCACTAATATGCCACTGAGTGATGATAACATTACAGCTGGAAGTGAGTGAAACCAGAGAGCATAAGCTGCTCCGTAGCCTTGTTTCTACCTACCACTGACAGACAGAATAAATCAGTTACAGCTCCCACTCCAAAGAAAGTTTTTGCACATTAGGATTTTATATACAGGAATGAGTCTGCCAGATCCTGGAGCATCCTATCACTTCCTGATAGAGATAAAAAAAAGGGAGGGGAACACAGAGAGAGGATCTGCTCTCTTCTATAGCAACAAGAGCCAAACCATAGGCACTTGTGGCTTCATATCTGTCCCGGTACCCTCGGCATGTTTGTATTTCTGAATTCCTGATGGCTCTTTGAATGAGCATCAGAAAGACAGATTTATTTGCTTCAGCTCAAATAGTATTTCATGTGACATAAAACCAATCTCTCAGATTTGTTTCAGGAAAAAAAGATAGATGAGAAATGTTTTTGGAAGCTCTTTTTTCTGATGCAGTTGCTTGGCTACAAATCCGCTTATTAATGTGGCTATAATGGAGGTGAAAATGTTGAGCATTTCACATGCCAGGAGATAAGATTCAGAAAAAGCAAAAGAGGAGGTGAGGGCAGAGAGAAGAATTGTTCTGGCCAAAAAGATGTCCAGACTTACAAGCATTATAATTTCAGATTTCATAGGAGTTAGAGAAGGAATGGACCTCCTGTTCTAGTAAATCCAGTCTTTGCTGGATAGACATATAAACCTGTTCATTAACTCGGGTTCTCTTTTACAATACAGTATTACTATCCAATATAAAGAAAGGTATTGGATAAAGTAGTTGATGTTCAACATTAGCCATTAGAATAACTACCTAGGTTGACTGAAAGAGCTAATTTCAGACATCAAGGATCTTTCTAAAATCATGTTTTAAATACTTTCTTATCTTGCCTGAGAGGAATTGCATCTGTGATCTGAGTAGGTATTCTCACCACTGCTGTATCTATTGCAATATCTTAAAGGAGACACTGATGCTAGATGGAGAATCATTGCAATAGGAGTTTGAAATGGCTGACCATTGTCTGCTTGACTGATAGTAGTTGTAAGAAAGCATCTCTGAGGCAGAGTATCCTGCGTGTGAAGCATTCAAGCTATCATCGGTTGTGCTGGGCAGTTCCCCCATTTAAAAGCTATCACATTAACCGTGTTACATTCATGCTATTCTCAGTAACACTGTTTGTCAAGCAAGGCCTCAGATGCTTCCATTATACTGTTTGCTCTGTTTATGTGATGTTAAACACCACTAGCTGCAGTCCATGGGTAGCTGCTCCAAAGTAACAGCTTGCTGCCACCAAAAGGCCTAATTCTCATTCTTTCCTTCCCTCATCTTCCCCCTCAGCCTTTCAGCAGCCCCCTCCCTTGCAGCTGCTTTGACGCTTGTGTGAACCTTCATTGAGCTGACCTCCTTTGCTAAGGCAGCAAAGAACTCCTGCTTTCTGCCCTCACACACACACACAGTGGCAGTGTTGCTTTGGGCTGTGTTTCTGCAGTCATTGTTGGCATTTTGGTCTGACCTTTCTTACTGGGCAACCTTCCTAAGCATCACTGTCCCTAACAGCTTGCTTTGGAGTGCTAGTAATAATGCTTCAGTGTTTTTATGAAACTTCAGAGATCTAGGTCTCCATGCAAGCCAGTTGCATCTCTGAAGGTTTCTCTGTGTTTGTGTATAAAATTACTGGAGCAGTTTCTATTATGGCACTCAGGTGGGGTTAAATTGATAATAAGTGCAGCTTAGTTTGAAGGAATCAGTGAAAACACCATTATCCCTCCTTTGCAAAATGCTGTTTGCCAAAATGAGAGCTGTTCATATTTCCCTGAAAGAAGTCTGTGAGGTTGAAAGGTTTTATTACAAACATTTTGCTGCACAGAGCAGCTCTTCCCTGGTTGATTCGTTAATCTGCATAGGGAGGACCCAGTTTCAGATCAGTAGAAATGTATATTCAACTGTTCTTGAAATCCATGTGTCTCCTTCCTGAACAACACCCTGCTCAGATCCTGCCAGCTGCTCGTGACCGCCAGGTGATTGAAGACCTGGCTGCCATGTGCTCTGCATGCCCATCCGGCCTCTCCCGACCGGCGACCTCCCCACTCCTGCCTACCTAATGTAAAGTTCTGTCGTTCAACTTGCAATCTGTGGCAAGGCACATGTGTAAAATATATTTTCAAGGGAAAACAATCCATCTTTTTTAACCTCTCATTGTAAATCTAGCTTCACAGGTACCCATGATAACACCGAGGCTGACCAGGAGGAAAACTTCTGGTCTCAGGCTCTGGAGGATTTAGAGACCTGTGGCCAGTCAGGAATTCTGAGGGAACTAGAGGTAGAACGATCTTAACCTTTCTTTCCGATTATAGAGAAATATAATGGTTTTGGTTTGGTTTACATTCATTTTATTTTCTCCTTTTTTTTCTTTTAATTTGCACTAATCGCACCAATTCATTTAAAAGCTTTAACCCCTCTCCACAGGACAAGGCTGACAGGCGTCTGTGTTTGAGAAACATGACTCTCTTGGTACCTACCCTTTACGTTTATCTTTTTGCTTGTGCAGCTGCCTCCCCCACCCCTAACCAGAGCTATTTTCTTTTACTCAATGCAACTGAAATTCTATGAACGTGTTCGCCCCAGAGCTTTTGACTTGTAGCTTCTGCTGTGCGTCCCATTGATGCTGTTTGCACAGGCAGCAAATGGTGCAGAACTTCCTCAGTGGGCATAGCCTCCCTGCGGCAGCGCATCCCATTCTCTTGCAGCCGCTTGATGCAGCTTTTCTCAGCATGCTGTAGGTTGTCTTTTAAATTGAAACTTAATGTGATTAAGATGAACATAAAAGAAAATAATGTTATCGAGATATTGAATTCAGCCTTACCACTCTGAAAAGAAAAAAAACAAAAAAAAACCCTGCTAACATGAGAAATGTTGGTTGTACAGCAATTTCTCCACTGTGCAACATATTTTATCCTGAAATTAATTGCAAATCTAACTTCATGGCAGGTTGTGTGGGGGTGAAGCAAAGGGACAGAGGCAGAGTAACTTTGAGTCTATTTTTCTAATCACCTTTACTGTAAGTTCTCTAATTGGAACAGTTAAAATTATGCTGATGCTGAAAGTTGAGGAACGAAAGGTCCTAAAATATTTTCTTTTATGTTCTTTTAAATTCCTGGAGCTGCAAAACTGGCAGAATCTCATTTTCATTTTTATGTCATTGAAGACCTTTAGCAGCCAGGAGGAATGTGAATGGCATAACTGAGTGAAAGTTTTTCAGCCTAGATTAATTTACTCCTTCAGATTTACAGCTTCTGTATTGCATGTATGGATAGCAAAATGTGATTCTCGTGTATTTGTTATTGCAAACCAGAGAAAAGAAGGAGAACATGTTATATGGGTTTAATTCCATAGTTAGATATAGTTTGGTACTGCAGGCTTCTCGTGTAGTTTCAATATTCAGAGCACAATAAAAGGAGATGGAAGTAAGTAATTCAGAAATGGAAATAGATCATTCAGAATTCAGTTACTTCAACACGTTGAGTTTTCCTCAGCCTTTTACAAAAACAGCCACCTCCATTTTACAAAAGTGAAATTCAGAGCCATAGATGCTGTAACATTTATAGCATCTCTTCCTTGCACAGCTCGCAGATCTGAAAAGAAAGCAAGACTCATCTAGCATGACAGGGAGCTGAGAATGGCGATGCCTCTATTTTATGAAGTACCATCGCATAGCCAAGGACTCCTTCTCATTTTTCATTCCAAGGTCTTCAGCCAAACAGCAAAAAACCTGTTGTTTGCCAAGTCCTCCAGCTGCTTTGCTCCATCAGAGACGAATAGCAGTCAGTGAGCACAAGAGAAACTATTAAAGTACACTAGATTATCTCATAGTGAAAGTAGTGCTGGAGTTGGGAGAAAGACGAGTGTGACAAGTATGGTCAGTAGACACAGAAGCAAACTTTCATTTGCCTTTTTCTTCCCCTTTTTTCCTTTTTTTCTCATTTTCAAGCAGGCTGTCTGCATCCTGTCCCAGTCAGATTTCAGCTTGTGGCCTGAACTCGTAGTTTCCAGTTTTGCATGTCCATCAGTACCAGGGAGAATAAACAGGAAATTCAGTGCATCCTATCCCAGCAGCAGGCTGCACTCCTGTGTGGTGACTGTACCAAAGCACTCTTTACCTCCCATTCTCTGAAGAAGGAATTCTTTCACAGTGGGTACTTTTGGTGTCAGTACATTGCACCCAGTGGATGAGGTGACTTCTATTGTCTTCTTTCAACACCCCACCTCTGGAGGCTCTCAAGGCCAGGATGGATGGGGCCCTGGGCAATGTGATCTAGTGGGTAGCAGCACTGCCCACGGCGGGAGCTTAGAACTGAGTGAGCTTTAAGGCCCCTCCCAACCCAAGTTATTCTGTGATTCTGAGATTTCATGCTTTGAGCATTCTTTCATCTAACATAAAGTCTAGCTTTTACTGAGACTAAAACCAGCAGTGAGACAGAGGCTGGTATCTCTGAAGTACTAGTGCTGGTTAAGGTAGTTGCTCTTGCAGTGTGCACGTTATGCATAATTTCTTTCAAGCAGTGAGTGTACCTGCATTGATTTTCTCCCAGGCTGGGACAGTGTCCAGGCAGTGGCTCTGCCAGCTCTGGCTCTAGAGCTACCTTCACGTTCTGCTGACTTCACTGTTTTTTTAATAAACCTCGCTCTCACAGTCTGTCTTGTGACTTTGTGACTATAGAAATACCTTCCTATAGATCCAATTCCAACAAATGTAATTAGGCTGCAACTTAAACATCATTTTATTTACATGTAAAATATATTTGAAGTGAACATTTATACTAGACACTCTTCAGTCCAGTCTGCCAGGGGACTAGCTGACCAGCACAGCCATTCCAGTGCTCAGTATTTTAGTTGAAAATGCCATCTGAAAACGTTTCCCTATGGGGTTCTGTTATTCTTGTTGTGTTTCGTTGTGGTCCTTTATTTTATAGTGACTTGCAAGCAGATTGAACATCTGTCCTCTTGCCTTTTGCTGTGCCCTGAGTGATTGTGTTTTAACAAAGAATAGATAAGTTTTTCCTACTGCTGTGAATTAACCGCTTACTTAAACCACATTCTGTGTTAAAAATTAACCTGTTCATTAATGCTCTAGGCCACAATTATGTCAGGAAGTACACTGAGTTTGAATCATGAAAACCCACAGCCTCGTAGCCAGCTGGGAAGACAAGCCAGCTTCCAGGAAAGAAGCACTGTAAGGCCACATTACAGTCAAGCTTCTCGTAGCAACACATTGCCATCAGATGTGGGGAGAAAGTCCATGGTTATGAGAAAAATTAAGCAAGAAATGAAAGAAATCATGTCACCAACTCCTGTGGAGTTACACAAGGTCTGTAATTTTTCTTCTGACAGTTTTGAAATAATATATTCAGTGTAGGGAATCTAATTATATGGCAATACAGTAAGCACTTTTTATAATGACTCCACAGATGTAATTCTGGGGCCGTGCATATTAGTTCCTAGAAAGACATTAATGATGTATCCTTATGGGGAAAGCAAACAAATAAGATGCATCCTTGTCTACTGTTTTCTTTTACAACAAATTCTCAAAAGGGACTGTTCTTTTGCAAGGAGGAACCACTGTTAATTTGAATTGACAATACCAATAACTCATCTCTGCAAAATGTGTCCATTAAGAAACCAAAGTTTAATTTCTAGAAAATACATTTCTTTAGAAAATTACTCAGGAGAGATTTGGGCTCCCAGTAGTCCTTCTTCAAATTAACACTAATTTTGAATCAAATATATGATACTCAATGTACACAATACAGAATCCTTCAAATTAACTATTGCTTCACTTCTCTTTGTAATTCCTTTTTTCTAAAAAGGATATAAAATGTACAGTCTATGCAGCTTCACTGCTCAAGACTTGTTGAAAACACAGGCTAATATTAAGGTGGCTTTACACCCCAAGGCAGTCACGGGTAAAGCAACTTCTTATCTGCACAGGAAACACCGTGCTGGTTGAAGTCTCAAATCCCAAAAGGCCATGACAGCAACCAGTTTCCAGAACTCTGGGGAGTGTTGCAGTGCTGTTCTCCTTGATGGGAATGAACGTCCCATCTTGTACACCTTTTTCCTCCCCAAGGTCTGAGATTTGCCCAGGAAGGGGCCGAAAGCATGGAGAAATTTCTGTAAGAGGTCGCATGTTGTCCATCTCAGGGTAGTTGGTTTGTTTTCCGTTCACTGTGGCTCTGACTGGGCTCAGTTCATAACTCTTTCCATGTGGTGAGGTAAGGTCTCACCAAGTATGTGCTAAGTGAGTACTTCTAGAAGATACTGGAGAGTGGGTCTTACATACGGACAGGGAATAAACTGCCTGTGTAAGCAGTCAATAGGACGTGTTGTGATAGTTTAAAGCTACTTGTATTTCCATCTTGATATGAAGAGATTAATGGGGTTGGTTGCTGTGCTCCATTTTCCTGAGAGGAAATTAATTGTGAGATAGAAGACAAATCTACGCCAGCAGGCACTTCATGGTGTGCTCACACCTAGCAAAGATACTGTTTTTCTTCTATGGATTATAAAACAAGTCTGTGTTGACTGATAAAGCAAATGCTTTGCTGGACAGGAAGAGTCAGACTTCTGCTAATGAATCAGTATTGTTTTACAGCTGCTAGCTCTTAAGACTAGGCAGTAAAAAAAAGCCATCTTTTAAGAAAAATAGCTATCAGTGCCTGGATCTTATGGTCCAGCTCACCAAAATATGCTTATATACCTGTTCATTGCAGGGGAGTTGGACTAGATGACCTTTAAAAGTCCCTTCCAACTCTAAAATTTTTATGCTTCTATGCACGTTAACCCAAGCATCAAGGGCTGGTTTTGTATTCATGCCAATCTTAGTAAGTTCCGATTGGTTCTTCTGTAGAAATGTGTCTGTTACTTTCTCTCCCCTCCTTACTGTTCATGTTAGACCTCTAGTTTAACATGAATAACCTGTTCAGTTTCTATTTCTCAGGAAAACTTGTCCAATTAGAGTTTTCCAAAACAGCTGCAGTGCCTTACGAGTGACTCTGGATTCACTGCCAAAGGAATTCCTTTAGTACTTTTTGTAGCAGGGCTTGCTGGCAAATGTGCTCTGCCCTCTGCAGGCGAATGTCCCACTATGTCGGGTCAGAGAGAAAAAGGCTGGATAAAAGTCCTCAGGCTACAAACGCAAATGAGTAACTGTAGGGGAGCAGCAGGGTGAGCAGCTGACATTACCAGCTTTGTCCTTCTCACATGGTTCTCTGTAAAAAAGTAACACAGCCCTGAGAATTATTTTGCTTAATGCTGCAAACTTTGCAGCAAGTTAATGTGAACTCACTGCTATTTCTTGCTTAACTGCATTGATTTCATCAAATACTTATTCTGTTTTTGTTCTGAGAAAGCTAGGATTGAGATAAGTGTCATACAGATCTGTCACAGTGTTTGTTCTAGATGGTTTAATCAGTAATATTTAATTTAGCTGGGTATTATGTTGCTGTATTGGTATCCAAATTAAATTTATGCCTTTAATTGATTTTATCTACTTAGGTAAGTGAATAGATTAATATTTTTCTTAAAATCATAGCAGACCAATTTGAAAAGTTTCCCAGAGCAAGCGTTCCTCTGAGAACAAAAATATACACCAGACACAAAATAATTTTACATCAGTATTACTGCATGTCAGCATTAGCCTCACATTGCCGTTGGTTAAAATCTCTCAATAGCTAATCTGTGCACAATGTATGAATTTAAATGAAACATTTTCCCATATATCTGAGAGGGAGGGGAGACACAGAAACAAACTCAAAACCTGTAAGCCTCTGTTCAAAATTTGTAACTATTTAATTGCTTATGAAATATGCATTAAATTTCCGTTTCAGCTTTCTTTTTCCCTTAGGCTTCTGATGCAAATTTAAAAGTCTAACAAATCATTTACAGGCAAGATTTTTCTACTGAGATCAAAACTTCCAAACAGGTGTGATGACAAGTACAAATAAGATGGCATGATTTAGGTATTGTGTGGATTGCCTACAATCTCACACCCTTCAGACAGGCTGCATTAGTGGCAAGTGAGGATGAAAAACCCGTGTGGGAAAGCTTTGCCATTACCCACTATTAAATAACAATCAGGCACTGATTTTACTTGAGGATTTTCTTTTGGAAATATATGCTGCCCTAAAAGGAGGTGGCTCTAATATTATGACCTGTAATATGCTCTCTGCAGATGAGACAGCTGTCAGAGACACAGCAGTGTTCAATTGCAACCTCATCCCTTGAATAAATAGCTGTCAGTTTCGTTAATTTCCAAATTCCTGTTAAACTAGTCGAAAGTAAAAAAAAATACAGCCGTGAGGGAAACCATTTCTAAAAACTCTTTTATGATCTGTAGACCTGAAGAACCAGAGAAATTAGGTAGTATTCTGATACATACCCTTCTGGAATCACATCTTGTCTGCTCTGCCACGGCTTTGGTAAGGTCTGGACTGTAGGACAAACTGCCCAGTTTGGGGTCTGAAAGGTAAGGAAGGGCATTGTCCTGCAGAGTATACTTTATAGAGAAACAGTCCTTGTTTCACATAGCTGCAAAGAGAGAATAAAGTACTCTCCTTGTTCTTTGTGGATAGCAGCAAACTTAAGTCTCAGCAAGGGAGATTTGGTTTCAACATGGGGGAAATAGCTGAAGCACTGGCAGCGATTACTTTAATGGAGTGTGGAGTGTCCTTCACTGGAGATTTCAAGAAGCAGGACAGATCGCTCAGAAATGGGTTAGCTGCAGTTTGACCCAAAAAAACTTAGGGCAAGAGTGCAGCCTAAATGGCTGCAGAGAACCCCAGTTTCATATGGTCTAGAAGTTGTTCATCAGAGGTTGAATCCTGCTCCACTTAATGCCTGTGCCTTAAGGAAAAGGAAAGAAAGATAAATGGAATGAGTGGGAAGTTCCTTTTAAAAAATGTAACATCTCTTCCAGAACAGCACAGTATTTTACATCTCATCTCCCCTCAGGCTTTGTATCATGTTTCCACATTTGCTTTTCAAGGCTTCTTTAAGAAGCAGTTAAGAGAAGCCCTCCTATCTTTGTGAGAGTGTGGAGAAAAGGTTATTTAAAAGAAGATTTGTGTCTTGGTGCAATGCTAATTAGTTTTTAGTCTTGTCAGGAAGTGCACACAACTATTAATAAATTAAATAAATCTCTCTGCTTTAGTTTTCCTGGAGAGTTTGATATTGGTTTCTGTTTGGTTTTTTTTTGGTTTTTTTTTGGTTGTTGCTTTTGGTTTTCATCTTCCTGTATTGTTAGCCTTATGGCACTTTCAGGGATACCTCAGATCAAACCCATGTTAGACATGCTGTGATCTGACAACCAGATGTCTGTTCTCACCCTGGTTAAAGCACCGTTAATATACCACTGAAGCAGAGTAAATTCAAGAAAAGTGCAGAGAGCTTGAAAAGAAAAACACAACCATCTGTGCCATTTGTTTGTCTGACCAAATCTTTTACTTCTGTTTTGAGGCAATTTTTTCCTTGCTTATCTTTCCACAATGGTTTTTAAGGCAGAGTCTCAGAAGCTTTCTGGAACAGCATCAACTATCATGGTGCCCAACCCTGCTGTGCCTTGGCATTCGTCTGTGAAACACCGGCTGAGTGCTGGAGCCTCTTCTGAGCTCAGTCCTGACCCTGCCTTAAGCAGGAGACTGAGCTGGAGGCCTCCAGTATCCCCTCTAATTGGAAGGATTCTGTGATTCAGAGACACCAGAGATGAATTCAATGTTATGGAGATGGCTCCAGACCAGGAGTGGTCAAAGGGGTCAGAACCTGCTTCCCACTAGGCATGGCATTAGTGGCTGGCACATGCGAGTGGTTGCAGTACTTGGAGCTCGCTTGTATCAAGCCATGATAAAATTAGAGAGCACTCCATGCTGTCATTTCATCAGCCAAGATATAATTTGAAGCAGAATTTTGAACCTGAAGTGAAATGAACGATATTAGTAAGAGCATGATTTTGGGTATGTGTCTGTATTAGCACACACTTTCTGGCAGCACTGACATGTCAATCAGAGGCCATGCCATTTTCTTGCATAGGTCTGCTTGCCCAATGTAAGAGAGAAGCAAAGCAAGAAAAATTAAAAAATAACCTTAAGAAATCAAAAGCTACACATGGCACATCTACAAAGAGGTCTCTGAATCCTTTTCTAGCAAATAACTGAACTCACAGAACTATTCTCACAGTACTAATTCTCTGAACATATAGAAAACCTCATTCTCCTAACACAGTTAGCATCCATGTCCTACTTTCGAATGGCTGTCTCTTGCCTGTGTAACTAACGTATCTATGCTGGCATCACACAATTGCTTGTCTTCAAAATACCCTTCCTGCAGTGTCTTTATGTAGGAGCTGTGTTTGTGTGTTCTTAGAAGGTTGCATTGTAACTCTTATACTGAGCACTGTTGGGACTGGACCTTACAGGGTTGACCACTACCTGGTGAGAAAGAAGGCTGATGTGGCTCAAGTTGCAAGTGGTATTTTGGAAGATATGACACAGGTTTAGTTTAGGACAAGTCTTTCTTTGTCACTGCATATTGGCCTTCACCGTAGAAATGCCAAGTCTTGTTAACAGCTCTCACAGCCTTGCAGTTGAGTTGAGATTCTTGGTGACAGTTAATTAATCAATTCCCAGTCACGCTGAGACCATTAAGATCATCATAAAGATCATCATCATAAAAATGGGGCCAACTCCCATACAGTAGAAGTACCAAGTAGTAGGTAAATAAGTGATTGCTGTAATGTGAAATAAACGTAGGAAGGAGATCTGCCTACTGCTTGTAGAGATGAGAACAAACTTTTTTTCCCCACCGTATCATTATGTCAATTACCTCCACAGGTAACTTTGTACAAGGACTCTGATGGAGAAGACTTTGGGTTCAGTGTCTCAGATGGTTTATTAGAAAAAGGAGTGTACGTTAAAAACATTCGACCAGCTGGCCCTGGTGATCTGGGTGGTTTGAAACCATATGACAGACTTCTACAGGTAATGTTTTTGTCACCACTCAGGTTTATTGTGAATGGACATGACATAAAAAGTCCATTCTGTAAAAAGTTTTGTAACCAGACTGCATGGTGTTTGGGTGTCATCTGTGTACACAGATGTGTGGGCACAAAAATGCATAAAATTGTGTTAGCACTCAATTGGAACAGCTTTATTGTCTATGAGGGCCACTCTGAAAGTAATGCCTCCTATTTTATTATGTTGGTCCATGACATCTGAGACAGATGTTGGTGGTATGGCAGTAGGGGCTGAACCTTCCTGCCAGTATTGCTACATGCTGTTGCTGTGTGACAGATGGCAGCAGAGGGACAGTCTGACACAACGGTGTCTGACATGGAAGTGTGGATAGAACAAAGGTGTGAAACTGAATTCCTCCATGTGGAAAAAATGGCACCCACTGACATTCAGCAACACTTGCTGAATGTTTATAGAGAGCAAACAGTGGGTGTGAGTGTAGATAGGCAGGGGGTGGTGCATTTCAACAGTGGTGACAGCAACATGAAAGGCAAGCCACAATCTGAATGGCCATGCACAACTGTTGCACCATGAAATGAAGAGCATCTTGATAAGCTCATCTGCACAAATCAGTGGATTGTGACCAGAGAACTGTGTACAGAGCTGAGTATTGGCTTCAGTGCGTTGGAAACTATGATGACAGTGTTGCAATATCACAAACTTTGAGCCAGGTGGGTCCCATGAATGCTCACAGAAGAACAGCAAGAGCACTATATTCAAGTTTGTCAGGGTGTTTTGAACTAATACTAATACTAGTATTAGTTGAACTAATATTAGTATGAACATACTAATATTAGTGTGAACTAATATTGAACTAGAGCTGAAGGTGACAGTTTCCTGGATCGCAATGTTACTGGGGACAAGATGTGACGACACCACTCCAAGTTGGACTCATAAATGGCAGTCCATGGAGTAGCAACATGAATTCTCAATCAGTGAAAATGTTCAAGAGTCGGTGGGTAGAGTGATGGGTCTTTTGGGATTGGAAAGGAGTGATCCTTCTGGATTTCTTGGATCCCAGACAAACCACCAATTCTGACCGCTACATCATGATGCTAACTAAGCTGAAGGCTCCAATTTCCAGTCAGGCCAGAGAAGAACCTTTCTATTGCAACATGGTAACACCAGGCCCCATGCTAGTTTGAAGACCGTGGAGCACATTGCCAGTCTTGGCTGGACTGTCCTACCACACTACCAGATTTGGTACCATCTGACTTCCATCTGTTTGGGCTGAAGAAAGATGGATTGCACAGGCAACCTTTCCTAGCAGCAGTGCTGTCATAGCAGCCATGAGACAGTGGGTCACTTCTGGTACAGACTTTTACAAGAGTGGCATGCAGGCTCTTGTTCATCACTGGCAAAAATGCATAGCTAATGGTGGTGACTACATTGAAAAATAGCGTTTTGTAGCTGATGTGAATCTGCTCAATCAAACAGTGTTACTGGGCTCTTCATATCTGCTGTAGTTTCCATGGAAATAAATAGGAGGCATTACTTACAGACCAAACACTCTACGGGGCTTACTGTATTTTCAGTGAGAAGCAGTGTTGTTATTTTGTGTACCTACTGGGAAAGGATGTGGGGGAAATGGGAAAAAGGGGAAAAATGATCTTAATTCTCTGTGCCACTCGCCAAATAAATCCTTTAGGGCACTGGGTAGGAAAATGCAGCAGCTCATGATGATCTGGGCTTTTATGCAGTAGAACTAAAGGCAGATTTTCTCTGTAATGTTGCATTTATAGACCACATCTGTGCAGTGCCAAGTTGGACTGGGAGGAAAAAACTTTTTTTTTTTTTGGTCAGCTAGTCTATTAAAATGTTTTTGTATTAACACAAGAGAAAACCTGAATTGAAATTTTAGTTGTGGGCTATGGCATTTCATTCAGTGAATACTATGAAAGCTGTGAAAGTGGGAAAAACAATGTGCTGTTAAGTATCGTTTATGGAGCAGACATTGTAAGCAGTGCTAACCACTATAAGCAGGGCAAATAAGCCTGCTTCGGCCTCATTCTGTTAAAGCAATGGTAGAAAACTTCACCTGTACCCTCAGATCAGATGCTATGGTTAAGTAGTCTTGTACTGGGCTGTTCTCTACCAAGAGTATTTAAATCAGCCTTCATTGTCTCATAGATGAATCTGTTTCTCTTGTGGTCTCCTTTTCCTTAAAACCCTACCTAAAATCAATCTTCTAATTGCTCAGGTAAACCACGTTCGTACCAGGGACTTTGACTGCTGTCTGGTTGTGCCCCTGATCGCAGAATCTGGCAATAAGCTGGAACTGGTCATCAGCAGAAACCCACTGGCATCTCAGAAAGGAAGCTCAGACCAACAGCCTTCAGTGAGCGGGGAGTGGAGCAAGCAGAATAATGCCTTTCTTCAACAGACCGAGCATGGTAACATGAATACAGAGACACGGGATCCCACAAACACTTTATAGCAGAAAATCATTTTAGTGGGACATTTGGTAATGAAAGACAATTATGGTGCTAAATCCCTTTAGGATTTCTCTGAGGGTAAGCTCAGATACAACATAGCACTAAAAAGCACAGGAGGTCAGTCTGTCCGTCTCAAGGCTTATATTAATTCACGATCACTTTTTTAGAAGTTTAATTCTTTGTTAAATCATTCCATTCTAAACAATCTACCATTAGCAACGGAACGTCAGGGCCTTTCCCCCCCCATACAGGAAACTGGGGAGATGTTTATACATGGTATAAACGAAACAGTCCTTTCCCTTTAGCAGCAGCAGCTGTGTGAGGGGAAAAGGGCAGTTAACTCCTAACAGCGGTGTCCAGGTTACATGATTTTTAAAAGCATTTGATCAGGAAGTCAGTGTCAGCTGGCTGAGGAAGAATGCTGTGCTGCAGCCCGTGCTCTCGTTAGCTGCCCAGCATTGTCATTCTGGGGACCTGCGTCCTGCTGGCAAGCAGGGGACACTCTGTAGACAAAGCACGGGTTAGATGTTTGAACAGAATGCTTGTAGGAAGCTGCGGCATGTGGTGAACACTGCTCCCCAACAACTGGGATAAATTTTATTAGATCATATGTTATTATTCCCTATGCAATGACATATTTAATGGCAGGTCTTGCAGCCTGCAAGGCTTTTTAAGTAGAGACTTTTTTAGCGGGATTAAAAACCTCTGAAGGAGGATTACTGACGAGTAAAACTGAAATGTTCAGACAAATTAGAAAGGTTTTAAAAGAAAATTGATTTTTTAAAACAATAGCAGTGGAAGATTGATACAAAAGTTCTTTAATGATCCATAAACCTATCAACTTCTACTGTTCTACATGAGCTTTTTAAGCCAAACGATTTCTTGGGGGGACCAGCGTCCCATTTAAAATGCTTTGTTCTCAGCCTTCTTTATGATAAACATCCCCCTACAACACGTTTTTAGACTTTAAAACTGTAAATATATTTTACAAACATCACAGATTCCCTCCACTCCCCTCAAGCAATAAAATACTGCCAGTTGCTTTATATGCCCACCAGCAGCTGCTTTGGTTTATTCCAGTATTCAAGTTGTTATTGGTAATTATTGTTCTTGGTGAATATAAAGATACTGGGTTTGTACATTTGTAGAGTCACCACATCCAAGCAATCACCCTACGGAACTGTTTCTGGTCATTTTAAACTGTTATCTGTATCCCTATTGCTGTTTCCAATCCATGAACGAGCTCACCTGCCCCCCGCACACAACTGTCTCATTTATATTGCAGCACTGCCACAAAAGGTCAGAGGAACATTCAATGCTGAGTCATGTAAAAAAAAAAAAAGTCCATAAGTCACTTAAATACGTATTTTTATTTGTAACAAATAAGTATTAAACTGTAAAGTATTTTTGTACAAATTTAATACTTTAATAGCATGATATTTATCGTCTATGTATGTTTTTTTGAAATTCAAACTGTTGCAAATATTTGTATGGAAAAAAACTGTATAAATTGAAATAAACTGTGATTTAAGGGCGTTAAAAAAGGTAGTATTGGTCTGCTTTGTTCTTTCCTGATGTGAGAAGAAAATATCAAGAGTAATAAGCAAACCCTCCAAATTTTAGTAAAGTCTGTCTGAAGTGTGAGTAAATGTTCAGCTCATTTAATCACAGCCATGACAGTTGCTCAAGTCATGCAGTACAACAAAAAGGAAGTGGCGACGTTATTTGGGTTCTGACTTGGAATGTTACTTCCAAGAACGTTAGCAGGTGGGAAGCAACAGCAGCAAGTTCTGCATTGCTTTCAAGTACCGAGTGGGAAAAAGTAGCTGTGTCACTGATTGCATTTTCTGTTTCTCATTTTAACAAGATTAAAATTCGTAAACCATCAAAGCTTAATGCCCATAGTTCTGCCACATTAGAGAAATGTGAATTCCTGTTTGCAAACTTATTATTTGGCTGAAAAGCAAATTGCAGCTTTTGGCACAGCCATAGATTCTAATCAGTACTGCAGCTTTAGGAGATACAGATAAAACCGATAGCTGTGCCTGGAGTGCTCAAACAAAAGAATGCCCGTGTATTATTCAGGTGAACCTCTGGATCCTGAGAGCTCCTTCTTTAGGAAAATAAAAGACTGTAATGATTTTTGAGGACTGACACCAAGGAATCTTCTACTAAACACTGAAAATATAAAAGGCTCGCTTTAAAATGCATTTTTCCGAAGAGAAAATGCAGTTACAGGAAGGTTTTTGAAAGTCATCTGCATACCCAGCTTCTCCTTTCCAGAAACCTTAAACAAAACAGATGTACTCATGAAGAGGACAGTTAATTGTAGGTCAGCTTTTGAAAAGCTTCCTGGGAGTTACTTGCTCCAAAGTTAGGCTCCTGAGTCTGGCAGTCCCAAGTGGGGAGTCTTTTCCTAATGGCTGTCAAAGGAAAAAACACATCATCAGAGTTTGAACCAGAACTAAAATACAGTAACCAAAAACAGCTTCAAAAAAACGAAAGGTCTGCACCCATGACAGCTCCCAGAAATTAGATACAGGAAGATTAAAAAAAACTGATAAGCGTGTATTTTGCCCATTAAAATATTTGACAATTTGAAATGTGCCTACTTCACTGATGGCACTGTATATAAATGTATCGCAGCAGGTCAGCTCCTAACAGCTGACTTCTGTGCAGGAAGGATAAAGCTCCCCAAAAGATCGTTGCAGTCAGCAACACGATCCATAAGCTGGCTGCTATTAGATGATAACTTCTTTCTCCTCACTAGCCACATATTACTCTGCCCATGTTGGAAATTATAAATAGCAGAACCATCGTAACAGTATCCAGGCTAATTGCAGCGGTGAAAGACAACACAAGAGTTTGTTTTAAGCTTTCCAATATTTGAACTTCAAATACATTCAAAAGTAAGGAGATACTTACATCCTCTGAATCCTCTGCGTGGCTTTGTTGTCTCTTACATGGACTTATCTGCTGCGAATTACCCACGTGCTCCTTATTGAGATCTGCTGAGCTCTTTAGCTGAATCCTGTCAGTTCCAGGTTCAGGTGGATCAGGAACATCTCGAATTAAAGAAACAGGCTGGGTCCCAGGCTCTTGACCTGGCCAGCTCGTTTTCAGAGGAGAGGGTGTTTGTGTCAGGCAGTTGTTTGTATTTGCAATTGCCTCTCTCAAAAACCTCTGTAAGCGAGTTTTTCTGGGAAAGTTATTGTTAGTGACTGCTTTCCTGAGGTGCATCTCTTCAGCAATAACGTAGACACGGCAGCGTCCTCTGGTCACAGCTGTGTACACGTGCTGCCAGTGCTGACGGCCTGGATTGCCAACCACATAGACAACTGTTTTCTCCTCAGAACCCTGAAATGCATTTAAGAATGCCTTAGCAAATGAACATCTCCATCAAGGAATAAAAAAATAAAAAGGATAGCTTCCAACAACGGGGAACTTGGAGATACTTATCCTGCATCCAAAGAATTTGAGTTGCTTTGAGACTTTCAAGTGAAAATTAAGTGCCTTGCCACGAAGAAAAGCATGAGAAAGTTTTACCACCTGATAGCTTTGTTTTGCTTTGTCTTTTTTTTTTTTTACCTGAAATGTGTGAATAGTTCTGGCCCATGCATGTTTTATATGACAGAGCTTCTTCAGAGCCTTATAGTTCACAGTGTACGTGGAGCCGTATGTGCTGCTGATGGTCAGTAAGCGCTGCTTATTAATTTCTACATCCTAAAGAAATAGCATAACAACACTCAGTGGTAAGCCTGTATTATCAGTTTGATCACAGAACCATAAAATCATAGAATGGCCTGGGTTGAAAAGGACCACAATGATCATCCAGTTTCAACAGTTGCTGTGTGCAAGGTCACCAACCAGCAGACCAGGCTGCCCAGAGCCACATCCAGCCTGGCCTTGAATGCCTCCAGGGATGGGGCATCCACAGCCTCCTTGGGCAATCTGTTCCCAGTGATTGACCACCCTGAGTGAAAAACTTCCTCCTAATATCTAACCTAACCCCCCCCCCCCGTCTCAGTTTAAAACCATTCCCTCTTGTCCTATCACTATCCACCCTCATAAACAGTCATTCTCCCTCCTGTTTATACACTCCCTTCAAATATTGAAAGGCCACAATGAGGTCTCCCTGGAGCCTTCTCTTCTCCAAGCTAAACAAGCCCAGTTCCCTCAACCTTTCTTCACAGGAGAGTTGCTCCAGCCCTCTGATCATCTTGATTAACTTGTGTACCTGTGTGTGTGTCTGTAGTCTGTATTTCTCCAAAACTAAGGTAGCTGCAATGTCAACCAAATGAAACAGTTTCAGAAGACACTAAGCCCAAGAGATCACTATCTTCCACTGACCACATTCAAGGAAAATGCTTGCACTGTACAGGGCCTACCCTGAGTCCTGTTAAGTGCAAAAGAAAAAATCCTATATATGAAGTTTTAATACCCAGAAAACTAAGATTATCCCAGGACAGCATGAAACGTTACCAGTAAGCCCTCTTAACCATTTGCTACCAGAAATGGAGACAAGCTTGCTTTCTTCCACCAATCCTGCACAGTCCTTGCTTCCTATGCACAAACACTGATGCTTCCAGTGCCCCTTTTGCTGAGTCAACTCAACTCACAATCCAGGAGAAAAATACATGGGCTTTGTGTTGGTATGTTTATTTGGCAGCTTAGTTTTCTGCTGGGAACTCAAGCAGCAACATTAGCCTTATTCTTTACCTAAGACTGTTTCTACCTACATCAAGAAGACTGCATTTCATTTACAATGCATTCACAATGTATATTTATAGAATTTAGAACAAAAAAATGAACTCGCAGTGCTGAACAAAAGAAACCAACTGAAAAACATTTTACAAAAATGACAGAGATACTTCTGCAATTCCATTGCAAGTTTGCCTCTTTCTCGTAAGAAGGTAGCATTTCACAACAGTTTATCAGGACCATCAGGTATCTATTATAGACTGAACTTTTCAAGTAAAAATTGCACTGCTCTGGGGACTCAAAAAGGAGTGGATCGGATACCATTATTTATTTGCACACATTCCTGCAGCAACAATTTACATGTGTTATGAAAAATATATCTCCATTGCACAGTCGTTTGCCCTCCTCAGTAGTCTCTGTACTGAGGGTGGTTTCTCCATTTCTGTATTTCTGGTGGTCAGGATCCTGTCCAATACCAGGGTCTGGTAAGAGATCCTTGAGGTACGTATTTCTCATGCAGGAAATCTTGTCATCAACTTGAAATAAAAGTCGTCTTTTATGATCTCTGGGTCAGAGAAAGAAAAAGTGAGACATATTTACTACATATGCATTTATCATCAGTCAGTATTTCTACTCCTTCTCCTCTCTGTACCTGAGTCAGAATACAGATCTGACTTACACTCAAAACAGTGAACACAACTCACATCTAAAAGGCGTTTCTCAAACTTCTTTCAAGCAAACAAACAAACAAACACCAAAATGCTGCTCCCAAATCAATACATTTCAGTATTGATCTAGAAATAACACAACATGAAGAATAATTAACGTTTTTCTTCAGAGTTGTTTTTATGTCAATTTTATCTACTTAATCACTCACTCAAAACCTTGGAAGTCACTGACAATTTAAACAACAGGCAAACAATTTATCCTCTCCCTTTTCAAAGTCCAGGACGAAAATTAAAAGACCTATCAAAGAAATATAACGACCTCTACCATAAATAATCAGGTCTAGAGACAAACAAAAATGTTTAAAATGCTTCAGAATTTTCTTTCAGGTTGTGGCCTGTTGTGACACAAAAACAAAGTGAGATGAAAACTGCCAAGCAGTGGCTTACCTGGTTAAATGGTTCGAATAGTGTTGGCAGCAAAGTTCATTTATTAGATCACAATCTTGCCTACCATGCAAAACAAGAACACGGAAAAATCATGATGTACTTAAAGGACAGGAAACACACAGCAATTACATGCAACACCACGTTAACGTTATAATTAAAAAGCAATGGAGAAAGTCCATCTCAGCTGTGATCTTCCACCATCAACTGAAAACAATCACTGATTCAGAGTCTAAAGATAAAATAGTAACAGTACAGTTTCTTCCAAATAAAAAAAGTGATGTCTTTTAATGCATACCTAGATTAGCGTGATTCACTGTTCAGATGAAACTGAAGAAAAACTAAAGCCAGGTAAAATATTTTTGGTGGTGGGTGTATTATAGCTAGCCAGGAGATTTGCTCATTTTATATATTTGCCATTTAGAGACCTGGAATTTTAACTTTTAAACACAGATTAAGTACTTAAAAATATATTACAGAAGAATCATTAATAATAGTCTCCTACTTGAATGCAGACTGGAGAGATACAACTGATTCCAGAGTTATTCGATGTTGGCAACAGGTGAACTAGCTGAAATGCTCAAATCAGTTTATTTGCACACTGGCAACCTGCAAATAGTATTTTTAATTGCTGAGAAAAGGTACTTCATTAATTCAATTCAATACTTCATTAAAACAAAAGAACACTGCCTCGTTGCCAGCATCACAGCCAGGGTCTCATAGGATCCACTGCAAAACGTCACTGCTTGTGTCTGTCCTTGTGACAAACATAAAAGCAAAAAGTGTGGTGTAAAACAATGTGAAGCTTGTAGGAAAATCTAGCAGATCTCCATGAAGAGACTGGGGGCAAGAAGCTTAAGAAAAGACACAGGTCTGTTTTTCTAACACTTTCTATGACATTACCACCAGTCTTTCCAGCTCAACACATTCAGCTATTTTTAGATTGTGGCTGCTAGCAAGGATTTTTCAGTGTTTGCCTATGTGCCCATTTACCTTCTGAAAGCAAGGAACTGTGACTGCGTGGCATCCTGCAATCCTGGTCCTTCTTTAAGCAAAGCCTTTATGGCAGCTTGCAAGTCTGATTTAGAAGACATAAAAGATAAAGATGAAGAACAAACAGTTTAAGAAAAACATAATTCAGTATGAAATTGCCTTTGCTCATTTCTTGTTTCAGCCTCATTTCTACTTGTTTGAATGCACAATGTTTAAATTGTATTTACATACACTCACACACACACATATCTTCTCAAAAAGCATCATGCAGTTATCCCAAAAATGGGAGACAGGAGTGACACAACAGATAAAATCTTATTCTTCTAGAAAGTAGTTGCATACATGGTATTTCATGCAAAATCATGTTTTTATACAGTGCATAAGAGAGGTGTGGATAGAACATCTTAAAACCAGGGCACTATAGATTTCAGTTTCACAGAAGAAATGTATGTTTAGTACTCTGTTAGCTGAGGAAGTGACTAAAGCAAGATGAGGTGTTTTTGGTTTTTTTTCCCCACTATTTTTTTTTTTCCAAATCGCAAACTGAAGATTTTTTATGTGTATCAAGTGGAAGGCCTTCATGCCACTTACCCAATAAGGGTCAGTGTGGAAGCTGCATTACACCCAATTTGAAACCCAACTGGTGAACTGGAGCTCTACAGCAGATCCTTTGCACCCATGAGTTTTGCTGTGTGCACTTACAGAAGGCAAACTTCAAAGTATGAATCTAGCCTTTACACCATACACAAAGCTAAACAAGACTAAAATCTCCCCAAAACGTTCATTCCAGCCTAACAGCCAGTGTTTTACCAAAGGGAAAGTCAAGATCACAACCAAAATGTACACACGTACTATCAGAACCCCCACCAGAAGGCAAAGCAATAAAAATGAATTTCTTCTCAGGGCTTGGCATTGCCAGCTCTTTATTCCAACCAGAAAATTTCAGCACTTCATCAAATTCAGGAAGCTTCCGGAGAGAGATTCTGGACAGCAGAAAGGAGGGAAAATAGAAAAGAAATATTATTTCCAGTTGAAGTATTCCTCTGGCCTGAAGTTCATCATTTATAAATTTTAGCCCACATGCCATACAATACATAGGGATGTGGAATAAATCCTAATGCATGCAGCACATATGGATATAGATACTAATTTTCAGTGAGAAACTGCAACAGAAACAGTGCTACAGATTCTTTAGGCACTTGAGTGCAGTTAAAGGACCAGCTCTACTACAAGAAAGCTTACATCCACAAGGAAATCCTACCTTGTTGCATTATCTACAATGAGTTGGGATTCAGCTCTGTGATTAGTTCGCAGTTCCACAGAAAAGCCTCTTGATTTTAAACTATTAAAGATATCAGCTAGCATGTTGCCAGGGTCAATGCTTGGTAGCTGCCTAGTATCACCTAAACAGAATGTGAGTTAGTATTTGTGAGGAGTATCAATAGAACATCTACAGAACCACCAAACAAGCAAAAATAAACAGGAAAAAAACCTATGGTATTGGAAAGAAACAACCAGAGAAGCACTCAAAGACTCAGCCCTCAACATAGTGTGACACTTTGGAATCCAAGTGTCCACAGTTCACATGAAATGAATCCAAGAACCTCATGCCTGGGGAATCAGACTGTGGTGTAATTTAAACCTTACATTTTCCCCATTCAGCAATGCCAAAGGAGCACGTTTGATTATGACCATGATCACATCTTGTCCAGACACATTTTGAAAGTTACCTATTTAAAAATGACCACCAAAAAAAGCACTGTAAGAAAGAAGAAAATTGTCATTTTATACTTGTTTTCCTTCTGAATCAAAACAAATTGATGCTAGTGTTAAGGACCCTATGGAACTTGTCTCCTAACATCTGATTCCTACTATCTTCTTTCAATTCTTTCAATTCTTTACAACTCTTGCACCCTGCTGCAAGGTGTGATAAGCCACCACATAGAAGTCACAATACTTTCAGAATCAGACAAAAGACTGCTAAACAGATAACAGAGACACCGATCCTTTCGTACTGACAGTTGAGTTGGAAAACTGTTGGGGTCTGATTGTTCTAACTCGACTTCATGCACGAGCAGAAATAGCCAAGGAGAGAACAGTGTAACCTTCTGGGCTTTTAAAGAGTCAGCAAGATTAGTTTCAGCTCTGATAGTTCTACTGTATTTTGTACGTTATTAAATTATATTAAATATTGTCTATTCCTAATTGTTTAGTTTTTCCACTTACCTAGAATAATAAGTTTGGCAAGCTGAGCATGCTCACATAACAGCTTTAAAACTAAGCTAAGAATGTGTACAGACACCAAGCTTCCTTCATCCACAATCAGAACTGTCACAGTAGAAAACTTCCATGGCACTTCTTTTTCAGTCTGCCTCCATGATTTAAAACTATAGATGATCTAGAAACAAATTGAAATAAATCATGCTCTGGCACTAATCAGCTGTGAACTGTCTTATAAAGATAGCCATAGTGTGGTATATTCTAATCTTGTATTTAGAGCTATTGCCTTCAGTTCTGAAATGAACTTTTTGGTACCTGTCGTGAGCTTGGACAACAGAGACTTAAATTTATTAACAAACAGTTGGCTTTCTAAAAAATAAAAATAAAGTTTTACGGTACATATCTGTAAGTAAGAAAACGGTGTAAATGAAATTCATCTCATCATCCAACCCCAGGCTGCTCATCTCCTCACATATGTGCAGGTATTAATAGGATTGCTTGCAATTGGGAAACAGCTTTGCCAGCTAAGGAGGTATTTCTGTTCTTACATCTGAAACAGACTATAAAACTGTATGATAAAACAAGGAGCTAAAAAGACCAGATACCCTAGAAAGGCACATATTTGATACATGTAAAAGAGAAAAAAGTTACAGCAAACAATGTATTCCAAATGCCTCATTTATGGTTTCCCAAAATGTTACACTGATATTCAGATGCTGGCCAGCTGTACCTAAACATCATCACTAATAGCTAAAAACTCTTAAGGAAACTTCAGTAAAAAGCTTTCTTCCAAAACAAGAATCAACAGTGTCTATAGGTCTGTTGTGACGTTGTTAAAAAAGAGGAAAAGATCCTCACCTGATGCAGAGTGTATGCAGGAAGCTTGGTTTTCTCACTCAAAAGGCTTGCTGCCCTCCCTGTGGGTGCAGTAAACAGAACATTCAAGGGATTTTTTGAGCAAGTGTCCTCTGACTCCCAACGACGATCAAAAGTATCCCACTCCTCAGACACATCCAGGTCTTCTTCAAAGTCCTTAGAAGCAGCTTCCACTTCTTTTTCTATCTGCTTTAAGTGCCGAAAAAGGCTGCTAACAATTGTACTCTTCCCACAGCCTCCTTTCCCACTTATGATTGTGACAGGATTAGAACAAATCTTTTCTATAGCGATCACCTGATCTAGGTCTACCTCTGCTTTACTTTGGGTACCAGATGTAGATGCCGCTTCCCTTTCAGGGAACTGATTTTCACAGTGATGATTGTCTGGATTATCTTCCTTCAGATGTTCCACTTCATGAGCCTGGATACCCTTCGTTTTGCTGTCTACAACTTCTCTTGACATCTCAGAAGCGTTAAGTATTTTTCTCACATCAACATCTAGTTGCCAGGAGCATTTTGACAGAAGATCACCTATACACATCGCAATGTCTTTTTCAGATTTGTAAAGATGAGGCAGAAACACCAGTGTCTTCTCCCTAATCACTATATTCTCATCTTTCAGAAATTCCAGAGATTGCCAAGCACCCTCAATGGACATATCTTCCGATACAAAACGAGTTAATTCATCCTGATCCTCGTAAGTGTGTCCCATTTCTCTGCAGTGTTTCTTGAGTTTATTATACAGAATCAAAGCATTCTTCTGCAAGTCAGGAATCTTCCAGAGGAGGTGTTCACACTGACGGAAGGCATCCCACGTTGCCTCACAGTAAGAAAGATTCAGTTCCCTGTAAGTAATCTTCTCCCCCAAAAGAATCAAAGCAAACATTTATTTCAGATATATTACTTTCACTCTTGCTGATTACCATTCCTCTGAGTATACGCAACTTGCAAAACAATCAAAGTGGGCATCAGTAAAACCTCTTGGTGGAAAGGATGTGACACACTGAAATAGACTGGATAGGTAGCTGAGTCTCTGAAACTGGAGGTTTCTAGAGACAAGTCAGAACAGATGTGAGCAAAAGCTTGTGGGGCTGAAGCAGAGATTAACAAGTCACATTTCTTAACTACTCAGCTTTAGTTCACATCTAAAGTAGATGTGCACTAAGGCAAGGCGCAGCGGCAAAGTAGCACAGCAAGTGCAGTTGGTGCCAGTGAAGGACACCAAGAATGTAAGAGGTGACCACAAGTCCCATAATATTAAAAAGAAGAGTACCACAAACCAGATGATCTCTTAAAGTGTAACTTATCTACCTTTGCTATGAAAGCATGCTCTTGTTCTATGCATTAAGAACAGAAAAACTCCACTTGCTGGTATAAACTTGGAAAGCAGATTTGTGAATTTTAAATTGTTCTTAAAGTTCTCACTTTCGGCCTGACTTAATTTTCTATTTCCTATTGGAAGGACTAAGCAAAACATTGCAACATAATAGATTTTTAAATCTTTTCAGATTGATTAACCACAGAACAACTGGAAAAAAAAAACTGCTCAAACTGAGCACAGTAAATCATGCAGTTCAAAATGAACTAAGCTTAGCTCCCAGAAATGCCCAGCTAATAAACTGAACATCATCAAAAGGATACTGTGTTCTAAAGAAGATGTAATGTAGCAAACACCGCATTTTTTACCCTTCTTAACATTACTTACCCTGCTGAATCCAAGCTTCCATGGCTCGTTTTTTAATATTTCATCCAACTTTGTTAGTATCTCATCTTCAAAATGTACCGTCTCACCATCCGTATCATCATTTTCAGTCCTTCTTTGCCAGCACACCGTATCCAAAAGAGAGCAAAAATGGCGCGGCAGAAGAGTAGGCAAGAATTCCAGTATCATAGGGTAAGTCAGGGCTACCAACACTGCCTTCCCTGCAACTGTAGGCACCATAAACCATAAATTTGAAGCAATATCCAAAAATATTTGCAAAGATAGATTAAAGTGACTCTGGCTTTTATCCTTCTGCCTCCCATATATCCAAAGCATCTCTAATTTCTTGCAGTTTCTCACTCTTCGTAAGCCCTTTCAAATTCTTTTTTAAGTCTGTTCTCTCTGAACTGCTTTTGGAAAAAAAGTGAACAGATAAAAACTACAGCTCAATGTACTCGTTTGGAAAATGCGCATCATACATTTGGTTTAAACTACACGCTCAATGGCATCTTGTAGAAAGTCCTTTCAGACCTCATTGGGCAATTTTCATACACGTGTACAGAAGAATGTTTAAAATCCAGAACAAGAAAACAGGCTTCTAAGTTTGTAATATCAGATCAGCACAGAAACTTAGGAAAGCCAGTGGGGAAAGGCAGTGGGGAACAGTTTTCTCAATGACCCCAAACTTAAGTAATCACTTCACGGCTTGAAGAATGAACTACAATAGTAGCAACATGACCTATGGAGTGGGGCAGTAGTTGTTTCTGTTGCCCAAATATAGAGAAAAAATAAAGTTTAATTAGTAACAAACTAATTTAAGTCGGATATTAGGGAAAAATCTGCCAACTGCAAAAACAGAGAACAGCATACTTATGCTCACTGCGCAATCTTTTTCACAAGTAAGTACCAACATATTAAACAATCAGAAGTGATCCATATATCCCATGACAACTCATGTAGAGTTCTAGATCAGAGCTCTATGATCAGAAATCAGACCAGAGCTCCTATCAGTACACAGGCCAATATCTTCAAAGTCATGGAAAGATGTGAAGTCTGTAAGCAGTACTAAGAATTTGTCTATCATCACAAAAACAGAATAAAAAGTCCACAGAATTGTGAAAATTTTCCTCACGTACATGATTTGGAGGAAAGTCAGCTCAGATCTAACAGAAGCTATGAACTCTCTTATCTCACACGACCTGACTTCCAGAACTGTAACCTCCAACCTGTAGTCCAGTAACCAAGTAAGTAGTGGAAGATCTCATTTATAGTCTGGTCCCACACACCGAATGCCTGTTAGTGGTTTGCATATTTTATGTGTGCAGATAGAACACTGAAGTTGAATCACAGTATCAGAAGGAACAGAATAGATGCTTGCTTCAGAAGCACACAACTGACTCAGTCACTAACACTCATACACTCACAACATCATCATTCCCACCAGGATCCTCAGTACGCCTGAAATGTCTCCATGTGGAGACACTCCAGTGTTTCCCCACTTTGCTCCCCAGCCTGCTGATGGGAGGAGTTCAAATTCACCCATTAGCTCATAAAACTCAAAATATCACATGATATACCTACCTGATTTCCAAACGTAGTATAAGATATCAAAATCCTTAGTGTCTCCTTGTTTCTTCCCTGTCGATAAGTGCGCAACTTGGAAATGTTTTAGTTTTTCTTCAAGATTTTCAAAACTTAGTGTAGATTTTGCAGGTAGCCAGGCAAAAAACAACTTCTTAAAATACTCAGGAACTCCACATTCCTTGAGAAAAAGTGAGAAGACTTCTCGGTTGTTGTCTTCTATATTGGTTCGAAGAAAATAGGATGGATATCCCTGAACGAAATACTTTGACCCCCCTTTTTTAACTTTAACATTAACTGTCCACCAGGGGCCAACTAATGGAAAACGTCCAACTACTTCATATTCCTTTTTGGAGCTCTCTTGTATAATAGCTGAAACATCAAGAAGAAAAATAAATGCACTGTTACTGCTAGCCGTAAAAAATAAAAGTTTACTTTAGTTGGGAGAGTTTTGGTTATTATTGAACATCTTGGCTTGGAAGGGACCTCAAAGAACATCTACTTCCAACCCCCTGCTGCAGGCAGGGTTGCCACCCACTAAATCAGACACTAGATCAAGCTGTCCAGGAAGATTATTTTTATCTTTTGTACAGTAAATTACAGCAATAAAAGGAAAGAAACACAAGTTTTCATGAAAATCCTAATGTCAGTCTTGTCGGTAGTATTTAAAAATGAAATTACAACCAACCTGAGAAACAAGAACTAAAACGGCTTCTCTAAGTGTGAGAACTACAAAATTAAGTGCAAGAATATTTTTCTAATCAGTTAAAGATGTTAACATATAGTTTAACATCTAGCTTATACCATATATACCAAGACAGTTTGAAATTCTGGACAAGCTTTGTCACAAAGCACCGTAGAGCAACAGGACTGGAGGGAATGGCCTCAAGCTGTGCCAGGGGAGATTCAGGTTGGACGTTAGGAAATACTTCTTCTCTGATAGAGTAGCCAGGTGCCGAATGGGCAGCTCAAGGAAAATGGTGGAGTCACCGACCCTGGAAGTGTTGGAGAAACTTTCAGACGTTGTACTGAGGGACATGGTTTAGTGAGAAATACTGGTGGTAGATGGCTATGGGACGGGGTGATCTTGGAGGTCTTTTCCAACCTTGGTGATCCTATGGTTCTACATACCACAATGCCTGCATGCTCTTTTCATGTATTTGCATGCCAAATACTTCCTGCATGTGAGCCAACCAAAACGCATGCAAGCACCAGCTTAAAACAACCGTGGCATTCTTCACCACTCGCTGCGCTCCTCTCTCCACCCTCACTCCCTCAGCAGGAACTCTTCCTCGTTCAGCCACAGCATCAGAACTCGACTCCAAGACAACATTTCCATTTATTTCCCCTCCCTGCTGCTCAGAAGAATTTAGCAACGTTTCAAACAGTATAGGCATAAGTGTCTAATGGGAAGGAGTTGCTCTGACGTCCACCTGTAGGAGGAGCAGACCTTAGGCCAACTATGGTTAGTCATGCTGGGGGGGCTCTGGGCGTGCCATGGCGCGCAGGTGTCCCCGCTCACTGCAGGGCGGTCGATGGCCTTTAAGGGTCCCTTCCGACTCAAACGATCCTATATCACTCCTCCACGTCATTACGGTAATTAATTAATTGGCCGTTATGTGCAGCACAGGCCCACACGAGTGCAAAAGGCACTGTGCCTCCTTACGAAATCAGAAACCGGGGAAGGACAGTGAGCCCGGACGGGCTACCTTTCCAGGTGATAGCTAGCAGTCACCACAAAGCCCGGCCCAAGCAGCACGGCTGCCCGCTCAGGCTCCGCGCCGCCGCCATGCCGGAGCAGGGCCTGCCGTTCCATCGCCCAGAGCTCCGTGCCGGCAGCCCGGCGCTCCCGCTCTCCCTCCCGCTTCCCCTCACCGGCTCGGCGCGGGGGCAGGGCGGCCGCCAGCTCCCTCCCGGAAGCCTCCAGCAGCGCGGCCTCCGCCAAGTGCGGCTCCTCCTCGACCTCTTCGTCCTCCTCGTCCTCCGAGCCCTCGGCCGCCCGCCGCGGAGGCAGCAGCACCCCCCACAGCTCCGCAGGCGCCCCGCGCCCCGTGCCTGCCATGTCGCGCCGCGGAAAGGAACGGGGCGGGGACGGCGGGCAGTGCGGGGTGCGCGGCCCCGCTCCCCTCCCTGCGGCGGTGGAACTCGCGGAACCGCCGGGTCTTCACCTGAGATCTCCACCGTATCCGATACATTTCACCTCGCTGCACCCCTCCCCCACGCAGGATAATGTTTTGCATAACCGATGTGCGAGTTTTTCATGAGATCCTCGCTTAAAGCCACCTGCACGTCCCTGTGGTGCAGCCCGGGATACATGGCGGCTCCAGGTTTCGCTTTCACTTTTAACGCAGATCTTTGTGTTTCCTGAAACTTCGCCGAAGAGCAGCTCGTTGCACGTCGTGGAGGAAAATCCCGAGCCATAACACGTTCACCATCGATCTAACAGGACCACAGAATCACAGGGACCTCAAGACACTATCGAATCCAACCCACTGCTAAAGCATGGTCCCTACCACAGGTCACACAGGTCCTATATACCGGCAGAAAATCCCCCTATTCCCTGCTGGAAGCAGCTGGTGTATGATGTTCTAAGCAAACTACCACTACTTACTAGTTAATATGTTTATCTGTGCTAGGTTATTATGTAGCACACCTTCTTTAACAGCAGCCCCATCCTTTCACTACTGCCTGCTCACCTCATCCAGTGAATAGGTGTTTTCATCAGAGTTACACTGAGTTTGCTTAAAACAGTGGTTTGGAACCAGCACAACCAGCCAACAAGCTCCTTGCTTTCTTCCTCTGTAGAAAACGGAGGAGCCTCCAGCTCCATCACACGCTGTCCCTCTGTGGTTCTCTGCCTCTTCCCCATTTCTGGAAACACTGCCTATGTTACTGTGCCAAGTACTGTCTAAGAAAAGAAAGAGATCTGTAAACAAGACTCCAGATTTTGAAAACCAGCAAGTTGTCTTGAAATAGTCCTTTCTGATTTCTGTCCAAGTCAACTTTAAACAATAGTGTTCTTTATCCAGCCTAAATTCACAGGTAATGAAATTACTCCATTATTTGGCAGGCTGAGAAAAAGTGACCTATGTGGTCAGGACAGTCACATTCAAGTTCCTTTAAACAATTCTAAGCATTAGCTCAGGGAAGTGCTTAGCAGTGTTATACAGTGATACATTGGTGGTTTAAAATACTTCTTTCCTGTGGAAAAAACAATCAGCTCTATGTTTGTGAAAGTGAAACTGCATGTCTGAGTGCCCTGACTAATGGAAATACCATTACCCAGCTTTGGATATGTCAGCCTTGATTTTTGAAACTGTAACTATTTGCTGCTTAGGTGAAATGAGATCAGTTTTGCTGAAGCGCTCAGAATCAAAGGATCTTTTGGAAAATTTGGGACAAAATAATTTTGTTCATGGTGAAGCCAAGCTAAGGTCCACATCTGTTTGGTTCTCATTCCTCCCCTTACTCAATACTGCTGCCTGTGCAGTAAGAGACAGAAACTAGAGTAAATTCTTTATGTTATGAACTCAATGGTACAAGAAGGATTTCACTCCAGAAAGTCCTATTGCAAGACTGAAAAATATAAAAATCAGGGAGCAGTTGTATAGATGTAGACATTTACATCTATGTGCATTTGGCAATAAAAACTAGGTGAGTGTAAGACCAGGAAATTCAGTCAAAAATTACTCTGTTGTGAAGGTTTTGAATCATTTGAAAAAATGATTTGAAAAATATTTGAAATCTTAGATCAGCTTTGGGTCTGGCTATCCCTCCATTATGTCTCACTTTAAATTCTACTCCAAAAGCCAAGAATATATAGTAAAAGGAAAGCACGCTTTGACAGCCCTATGAATTTACCTCCTAATGCACTGTAATATCACTGCCATGATAATTCATGACTCTCAGAGCATAATCTGACATGACACTAAAGAGGTTATTACTCTTCCCTCCATGGGGAAAGATATATTTATAAATTTGAATTCAATATTGCTGCGTTCAGCAGGAAAAAATCCAAAGCCCCAAGTCTTGAGCTGGTCTCCGTCACCAAAGCAGCCACAATGAACAAGGAGAGACCATTGTGCTGCCCCTTCCTACTTCATGTCCTGACATACAGTAGCAAGTTTTCCCTTAATCAAAAGAATGCACATATAAACCCTCATCCTTTAAATAGATACACGAAATTCCACTCTGAAAATGATTTTCAGAACATTCTGGTAGGTGACATTCATAGTATTTATATAGAATCTTAGAACAGCTATTAGTTGGAGGGTAGTCATAGGCAGGGTTGCCAGTTGCTGGATCAGACTGCCCAGTGACCTTTGAATGCCTCCAGAGATGGGGCATCCTTTAACCTCTCTGTGCAATGGAACCTCTCTGTTCCAGTGTGTCACCACCCTCTGAATAAAAATTTTATTCCTGACATCTAACCTTAATCTCTCCTCATTTAGTTTGGAGCCAGACCCCATGTCCTATCACTATCAGACTGTGTAAAAAGTCAATCCACCCCACCTTACCTCTTGATAATAATTCCAAAAGGCATAGTCTTCCCTTGGACTCTGTATTTTGTTTGCCAGTCTAACTTGGAAACCCTCTAAGCAATCTGAGACATGATTAGGCACCTAATTACAGGCAAATGAGTTGAGCCCTGGTACTTGATACAGCGTGAGTTAAATCACTCACCAGAAGCCACTGACTATGTTGACTAATAGTCTGTGGAAGTCTTTCTGCCACTCTGAGTTAGGATTCTAAGGTTCTATTTAGCTGATGGAGTGCGTAGTGAATGTTTTTGTTAATGCCAGTGTCTGGAATCACGTGAGAAGGTTTCCTAAGTGTTTACCATCCAGAAGCATCTGCAAGACTTCACATGAAAGAATGTGGTGTGTGAAAGTAGGAGGGAGGAGGAGCAGAGAGAGGTTTGAACTTTCATTCCTCATGGGATGGAAGGGTTTCATTTTTTCCCTCTATTTTGTCAGAATGCCATAGAGGAAATATCCCTACATCAATATTTTTGAGGAAGGGCAATTACAGACAGCAGAGCAGCTGCCTTTTGAGATGCTGATTCAAGTGCTCGATCAACACTGAGTCATTCATGCTTTTAGTAATGAGCTCCCTGGAAGACAACAGGAATCCCAGAAGTTGTCAGCTACTATTATAATGATCTAACTGTAGGTGGATTTTGGGACACAGGGCTCCCTTAAACAGATGCCAACATACAGGAGCTTCTGGTGGATGGTAGCTTGTGGGAAGTGGCTCTTAGCTTTCTGCAGATACATTGAAGTTGCTAATTAACAGTGTTTCTCATGTGAATTCTCTTCACATCTGCCACAGACATTGTTCTTTTTCACAGACAAGGAAATTCAGAAGATATCAAAAAAGTCCGCAAATGAGCTATATTTGTCTCACGGGCTGTGTTATGAATTGAGGTAGCAGGGCTTGAGTCATATGTAACATCAGGGGAAAAAATAGGACTGTTAAAAGAATTTTGTATTACAGCATGCTTAATTATCATACAGAAAAGAGGCTTTCAGAAAACTTGAGGACTGTAGGACAGGTCTTGTTGCCCAGGGCAGATACAGTGTTTTGACTTGAAAATATGCCAGCATAAGCCATACCATTAGTAATAGTATTCAACTTTGCTTGGAAAACTTGCCTGGCATGACAGAGCTTTAGGAAGCAAAACAAGTTCTTTACATTTAATTCAATGTGCAGGGATAGGACCACTGCCTATTAAAGGCTTCAGAAAAATCTAAAAATGAAAACAATCTTCTCATTTTCCAGAACACAGATAAAGCCTTGATGCCACGTGCAGAGCAAATGCTTTGAAATAGATACCTTAAAATCCTACTTTGAAAGATCTATTCCTAAAAAGTAGAGGAGAAGCAAACATGGTTAGTAATGTCATAAAGTCTACAGTCCATTTAGTCCTCCATTTAATGCTCCATAAAGAAATCCCTTTTTAAAAGTTCAGCAATTACTATTTTTGTGCTTTGGCTTCTTTTCATAACTTTGTGCTGTCTCTCAGCATCTCCTCAGGGGGACATGAGGTTTAAAATAAAAGCCAGAATCACCATATCAAATAAAAAAGAAGAGAGGTCTCTTTCCTCTTTCTCCCTAAGGCCACAAAATGTTGGCCACTCCTGGCACATCTGTACAGAAAGAAGGCCTCTTCACAGAATCACAGAACAGCCTGGGTTGGAAGGGACCCCAAGAACCATGAATCTCCAGCCCAGCCACCACAGGCAGGGCCACCAACCTCCCCATTTAATAGTAGACCAGGCTGCCCAGGGGCCCATCAACCTGGCCTTGAACACCTCCAGGGGCATCCACAGCCTCTCTGGGCAGCCTGTGCCAGCACCTCACCACTGTCATAGTAAAGAACTTCCTTCTGACAACCAACCTGAATCTTTCCTCCTTCAACTTGAAACCATTTCCCCTTGTCCTGCCATCATCTACCCTGTAACGTATGTGCACTCTGTTGCAGAGCATTAAAAGCTGGTATTGTTTTCTTTTTTTTCCGTCTGACAGGAGAAAAAGAGCCCCCTTAACAGACAAGAAAAAATTTCTGGATAGAATGGTTGTTACTACAGACATAAAAAAGTCTATTTTTGTAATTAAATGTATCTCTACAAAGACTTTTGCTTGAATATACTCCATTCATTCAGCAGACTCCTTGCCATGCTTACAGGTTTGCATCTCTCATGAGAGAGTTCTGAAACTGTTATACAGTTCTCCAGGAACAGATAAAACCTCCTTTACAGCATTTTGTTGTGGATAATACTTTGCAGCGCTGTTTCTCAAACAGCTGTATCTTGGTAGCTTATTAAAAAAATCCACATTATTCCAGTGTGTTCCATTAATGAAAAAGCTGAAGAAAAACAGAAGGAAAAGGAGAAAGCAAAAAAAAAAAAAAAAAAAAAAAAAAATCACTGAAAATGAAAGAACAGCCTTCCTATGGAATTCCTGAAATCCCCCAGTGCTGCTTGTAATGAAAGTTGGTGATAATGACCATGGGATAATGTTTTGTTCAGCTTTTTTTCTTGAGGGTCCTGTCACAATGAA